TACTTCTCGAGAAGCCTGGAAACTGAGTCTAGGGTGCCTTTGATTTCCCTATCGGCCACGGCCAAGGGGGCTGTCCTCACACAAGCCCGTTCCCCAGACGGCTTTGAGAGCAGAGTGGCTGGTCCCTCTCCTCTCCCCAACTCAGTGGAGACAAGGAAGTTGTTCTCCTGAGGGTCTGACCATCCGTGGCCTGTTCTTTCCCAGACTGGCTGAGGAAGAGGCCCAACTCCTGAGCCTAGGGAGCATCCAATCTGAGGGAGGGGTCACCCCCAAGGACACACAGCCCCTTCCCAGGGGAAGGCCCTCATCTGCCAGGCACACGAGTGGGACAAACCCCATCAGCACCTACCTGGAGAGTGCAGCATGCTGGTAGCCTGCATGGTGCTTGACAGTTGAAGGTTCTGGGGGTGGGGCGTTCGCAGAGGACCCCTCCCCCCCGAACTCTCCCAGAATCCCCTGGGATTCCTAAGTCAGTGGCACGTTTTTTAACAACTGCCTCCTTCCCACTTGTCCCCCACAGGCTGGTGCTGGTACTAATGGCCCCTTTCTATCTGCCTGGTCCCCACCCACCAGTCCAAGGGCCATCTCCCTGCGGGGATTGGAGACCCAGCACTGCCACTCTGGGGGCCACCACCAGGCTGGCTGTCCTCTCTCCATCATCTCAGGATAAGTCTGAGTCCCTCTTTTTTCGTCCAAGACTGCCAGGTAGGGGCTGTCCCTGACACTCCAATGGGATCTCTTTTATCTTGAAAGCCTCCTCAATTCCAAAAGCCACTGACATGGCATGGCATTCACCCTGTGCATCTCTGACTTCACATGGCCTTCGCTGTGCCTCTCTCCTGTTCTTATAAAGACATCAGTTGTATTGAATTAGGGGCCCATCCTTTTCCAGCATGACCCCATCTTATCTAATTGTTTCTGCAATGACCCTATTTCTACATAAAGTCATATACTGAGGTATTGGGGATTAGGACTTCAATATATCTTTTCAGGGGATGACATTCAACCCATAACATTCTTCTTGGCATGGTTAGGCTACTGGCATGCCTCAGAGCAGGCGAGGGGGTGTTCCTGGCTTAACTCCATGACCCCTGGGGAAAGGGTCTGGTTCCACGCCAGTCATTTTGGCCTATTTTGGGGTCCTTGACTCCTTTCCATATCAGTTTTCTCAGCTGAACTGTAGAAAGTTTGAATGAGTCAAGATGACCTGTCTTTAAGCTCCCATAGCATCCTAAGGTTTTTTCCATCCTGCCTTAGCTCCACTGTGTCCAGATTGTGTTATCTGGGGCAAGGGACATTCTGGCCATGGGCCTCACGCTTCTCATCTATCAATTGGATTTGATAGATGGGCTCCTCTGAGGACCCAATGACAGGTCCATCTCATTTCACTGGACTTTGAAGATACTGCATTTTTTACAAACTGAAGGTTTGTGGCAACCTTGCTCTGGTCAAGAAAGTCTACTGGGGCCATTTTTCCAACAGCATTTACTCCTTTTGTGACTCTGTCATATGTTGGTATTTTGTACTTTCCACTAGCAAAAACATTACGACTTGTTGAAGGCTCACATGATGCCTAACATTTTTTAGCAATAAAGTATTTTTAAATTAAGGTATGTGGATTTATTTTTTTTTAGAAATAGTGCTGTTGCACACTTAACAGACTACAGTGTAAATGTAAGTTTTCCGTGCGTTCAGCTCAGTCGTTCAGTCATGGCCGACTCTCTGCGACCCCATGGACTGCAACACGCCAGGCGTCTCTGTCCATCACTAACTCTCGGAGCTTGCTCAAACTCATGTCCATTGAGTCACTGATGCCATCCAACCATCTCATCCTCCATCATCCTCTTGTCCTCCTACCTTCAATCTTTCCCAACATCAGGGTCTTTTCCAATAAGTCAGTTCTTCGCATCAGATGGCCAAAGCATTGGAGTTTCAGCTTCAGCATCAGTCCTTCCAATGAATATTCAAGCCTTATTTCCTTTAGGATGGACTGCTTTGATCTCCTTGCAGTCCAAGGGACTCTGAAGAGTCTTCTCCAACACCACAGTTCAACAGCATCAATTCGTCAGCGCTCAGCTTTCTGTATGGTCCAGCTCTCACATCTGTACATGACAACTGGAAAAACCGTATCTTTGACTAGATGGACCTTTGTTGGCAAAGTAATGTCTCTGCTTTTTAATATGCTGTCTAGGCTGGTCATAGCTTCTCTTCCAAGGAGCAAGTGTCTTTTCATTTCATGGCTGCAGTGATTTTGGAGCCCAAGAAAAGAAAGTCTGTCACTCTTTCTGTTGTTTCCCCATCTACTTGCCATGAAGTGATGGGACTGGATGCCATGATCTTAGTTTTTTGAATGTTGAGTTTTAAGCCAGCTTTTTCACTCTCCTCTTTCACTTTCATCAAGAGGCTCTTCAGTTCCTCTTCAGTTTCTGGCACAAGGGTGGTGTCATCTGCATATCTGAGGTTATTGATATTTCTCACGGCAATCTTGATTCCAGCTTGGGCATCATCCAGCCTGGAATTTCTCATGATGTACTCTGCATATAAGTTAAATAAGCAGGGTGAAAATATACAGCCTGTGCACTGGGAACCCAAATTCGTGACTTGATTTACTGTGATATTTGCTTTATTGTGGTGGCCTGGAATGGAACCCAGTTATCTCTGAGGTGACTCATAGAAAGTGCTAGAACAGTGCTAGACCTAGTGAGCGCTTCCCTCTCTGTCTGTCTTGTCCTCTGGGTTGTGGATGTCCAGGAGGCAGCCTTACCCCTTACTATGTCACTGGTGCATAGTAGGTCCTCAGGATGGTTTGATGGAAGGATCAAGGGTTAGATGCCCTTTGCAGCCTCAGGGGACCGCTGGAAACTGCGCCCCTGCTGGAAACTCAGTGAATCTCTGCTCATCCAGCAGCTGGCTGGTAGGTTTCCTCAAACCCTTGGCCCAGCAGCAACTCCAGCCTCAGGACTTTGGGATATCCCTGGGGTACACATTTCCCAAGTTTGTGGATCTGACATACAGGACACACAGGAAATCTTTATCAGGCTTTCCACTGTTTGCTGTCCTCACTGTTGGCCATTTCTTGGTGACAGTCTGCAGGCCCTTGGGGGTACTCATTTCTTCCTCCTTCTCCGTCTCCTCTGAGGTCTCCTCTCCCCTCTGGGAGTTCTTTGACTTGCTTTCTTGCTTTCTGGGTCCTGCTGGTGGGCAGTGGCTGGCAGGTGTGTAGGAGGATGCTTCAGGGCCTTAGGGGTCACCTGGTCATGCTCCCTGAGTTTACTGATGAGGAAACAGATTCAGAGAGGAGAGGCAGGTCCCCTGGGGACACACAGCGAGTGAGTGACAGAACCAGGACTGGAGTCCAAGTTCTCTGGAGGGGGTGTGGAGAATGCTCACGGGAAATTTGCTAGAGAAGGTGAATTTGAGTTGGATCTTAGAGGATGGATCAGCTTTGAACTGGAGGTTCTGTCTGGGGGTACTACTGGAGCAGGGGCAGATGGGCTGGAAGCCAGTTCACTGAGATGCTCAGGAGAACATTTCCAAGATCCCTCCCAGGCTGGTGTCCCTGGGCAAACCCCACACCCTCTCTGAGCCTGCATCCTTTCCCATAAAACAAGGAAAACCACACCTGCTTTGTAGGTCCTATTCATGAGCATAGTATTAATTACAGTTGACATTTATGGGGTGTTTACCTTGTGCTAGGCGCTGCGCCAAGTGGGCACCTGACATATATTATCTCATACAGCTCTCAGAGCAAACCCACGCCTGACCTCACAGCAAGCTCTGAATAAATGCTTTAAGAAGCACAGAAGTCACTTAGTGTAATTTCAGGCACATTAACAACCATTTGGTAAACAGCATCAACAATGACAGTATTTGGTCCCTTCTTGTGGCCCTATTTTCTTACTCTTCCTCCTCCAGAGCAGCCTGCTAATAATCTCTTTTTGGAAGCAGCTGTCCTGGAATCTTCCTCCTCCAGGAAGACTTCCTGGACCAGTGTGGAATCTGTGGCTCTCCCTGGCCTTTCTCCCCTAAATCTCTGTCCTATTTGTGTGGCTCTTGGTGATTCAGAGTGTGGGCCTTGGGTCCCTGTTCCCCAGTTTGAAAGGTTCCACAATTTCCTCAGGGCAGGTGGCAGGGGCGGGATGGGGGGTGGACATGAGTGCAAGGGGAGGGTGCTGGGGAGGTTGGCATGGTGAATACAGCATGCCTCTGCTGCTACCCTCTCCTCTCCCTGATGGAGACCCGAGACTACACACAGGAAGTCTCTTGCCCAGGTCATATGGGGATGCTGATCTTGTATGTCCTTCAGACCAAGAGAAGGTGGTTGGACCCCAGCCACGAGTCCAGGGTAGCAACACAAATCAGACACCTGCCTCGGAGCTTTTCATTTTTATTTTAAAGGAAAAAAAAAAAACAAAAAACAAAACAGTGCAAAATCCCATTTTCCAGTGTCAGCCATGCCCACCCCCCACCCCCAGGTCAGTCCCCCTGGCTCAGGGCTGGACTCTCTTCTCCCACTCAGCACGCTCTCCCCTCTCATGCCACCCCGTAGGGGCTGGAGGCTCCACTTCCCTGGGGCGCTAGATCCCAGCGGGACTTGGGGGGAGGGGAGGTAAAAGCTGGGGGGGCAGTCCCTGGTCCGTCTGCCCCCACCAGGTCTCCAGCCATGGCACAGGTACCCCTCTTGGCTCTCATTAACCCTTTCCTGATCATACTACTAGCCCAGGGGGGTACTGATCTGGGGGAACCCTGTCCACACCCCTCGTTGCCCCGGGGCCGGCTCGGGGCTCTCCTCACTGAGGTTGGGGGGGAGTCCCACCTACCCTCCCTCCGTGGTGGGGGAGAGAGCGGTGAAGTCCCCAGGTTTAAATACCTTAATGAAAGCAGGGGATGGGGAAGGAAGGGGCTTTAGATCTAATAAATTATTAGCGTTTTCTTTTTAGTGTCCATGGGGGGCCGGGCGGGCGGGGGGCAGGGCGTGGCCGCCAGGGCCCTCCCTTCCCTTACTGGCGGATCTCGTTCTCTATGAGGCTGTCCTCACAAGACTGGAAGTCTGTGTCCGTGAGGCCGTCAGGCTGCATCAGCAGCTCCTCGTCTTGGGAGGAGGACGACGGGGGCTCGTCCCCCGAGCTCCCAGGACCCCCATCCGCGTCAACTTCTGAGTCCTGCAGCACCTGAGCGATGTATTTCTGAAGGGGGACAAGGGGGCAGTGTGAGCGTGGACAGCGGGGGGCCCCTCGTGGGGAAGGCGGGGTGGGGGGTCTCCCGGCCTGTGAGGGGAGGGGAAGCAACTCTCCTTCCAGGGGGGACATGGAGCAGAGCCCCCACCTGGTAGAACCAGATCCCCTCCCTGACCCCGGGGCTCTGGGACAGGCTCCCCCTTTTCTGGATGACTGACAGGACATCCAGCTTCGTGGGGAAGCCATGCTTCCCCCCGCCCCGCGCTTGGCCGTGGTTGGGGGCGGGGCACTCACCGCAGATTTGGGGACAGCGGCAGCATTGGGGGGCCGTCCATTGCTTCTGGGGTCCACGGAATCTGTCTCCGTGTGCTCAATCTTGAGGGGCCCGGAATGAGTCAGTGGGTGAGGGGGGAGGCCCTTGCCCTCAGCTCCCCACCCCCCACCCCCAGCCCGCAGATTCCGCCCTGGGCCGCCTCCCTGCCCCTTCGCTCCCACCTTGTAGTTGTGGGCACTGAGGTATTTGAAGTGTCCGAAGCAGACATGGCAGAGACAGACGACAATGGTGATCACCAGGACGACAAACGTGAACATGGACGTCGGGGCTAGAAACCCTGGTGGGGGGGGGAGGGCAGAGAAAGGGATGCGACCTCTCCCCGGGGCCCCACTCCCAGGGGCTTCTGCTCCCTCCTGAACGCAGGCCCAAGCTCCCCTATGCCTCGGCTTCTCCCAGGCCCCCAGCCTGCGCCCGCCCTCCCCGGGCCCCGTGGTCTACTCGGCCTGAACCCTGGCGGGAGCCTCCTCTGCACCCCGCACCCCCTCCCACCCCAGCCCCCGAGGGTGGGGGCGGCCCTCACCCGTGCGCATGGTGGAGAAGAACAACAGCCAGAAGAGGCAGAGGATGGGCGCGGCCACCACCTGGTTGACGGCCCCCGAGTGGATCTTCTTGTCCAGCTTGGCCGGCAGGTAGGCGTAGTAGAGATTGTACCTGTCTACCAGGTGCTTCAGCAGCATGTACATGAGCCCTGGGGGAAGCCACACGGGCCCAGTGCTGTCGGGCCTGAGTGTGTCTGTCACGGCTTGTCCCAGGCCTTGCAAGGTCACTGGAGGGCTGGCCCCCCGCTTCTTCTGCCCCAGGCCCAGTAGAGAATTGAGCCCCAAGCCCCTCGCAGGACCACGGAAACTCAGCTTCCCCTGCTTCAACCCCCTCACTCTGCAGCCCCTCACCAGGAATTCACTGTTAGAAATCTACTGGCTTGGGTCAGCAAGCACCCTCCTGCATGTTGTTTTTTTTCCTATTCCTGACCCTAAACAGAGGAGTATAAGGTAGGCGGTAAGGTCTCTCTTCCTGGAGGTTGAGGGAACGGGACGTTTCAAATGGGAACAAGGTGGTTAGTTAGGGAGTCTGGAGCCTTCAATAACCAGGGAGGGTAGTGAATGGATTAGGGTGTTAGTGGCGGGGGGGAAGGACAGATGGGGGGAATGATGGGGGTGAAGAGAAACTTTGCTTAATTTTTTCAGAAGGAAGAGGGACTTGCTGAGGTCACATGGTGCAGCGACAGCAGGGTATTTCCAGGAGTGGTAAGGACGCAAACCCTCCCTGAAACCCAAAGGTCTTTCACGAGTGTACGGGGCTGTGTACAAGTGTGCCCATGGATCCTGTGTACGACTGTGTGTGTGTGTGGACTCCTCAGTGGGCAGGTGATCTGTGTCCAAATATACCCACTTGTGTGAAGGCACTGGTGTGAAGGAATATGGCCGTGTTGGGGAGATGTGGCCCAGGGACCCGCACACAGGCTGAAGCCAGCCTGAGCTGAGATGGCTTTACCCTCCTCCCCCCCAGGCCGAGTCCCAGACTGAGCCAGGGACCAGGCGGGAGGCCCGAGGGGCCGGTCTCCCAGCCGGGGCCCTGTCCACTCGGGTGGCCTGCCTTGCTAGAGTGGAGCAGGAGAGGTCCTGGGTCCCCCCGAGCAGGGCCCAGGTCCCGGCGCGGCGGTGCCTACCGAAGGGCACGATGATGGGGCAGGTGATACTGTAGGTCATGACCACCGTGAAGACGCACATCATCCAAGCGTAGGCTGCGCCAAACTGGAACTCGTAGGCCTGATGCTGGGGGGGAGATGGGCAGGAGGGTCGCTCAGGGAGGGGAGGGGAGGGGGAGACTGGAGGGGCTCAGGCAGGTGGGAGGAGGGAAAGGGACAGGAACTCTGGGGCCAGGAAAGAAGCCAAGGGTGGGAAAGGAACCCAGTGTCCAGGGCAGGGCAGGGCGAAGCTGATGGAGAGAGGGGCTGTGGCTGAGTCGGAGATCAGGGTGGGTATGGTGATGGGGCCTGGGGAGGGGCCTTCCAGGGGTAAGGGGCTGGCAGGGTGGTGGGTTTGGGAGTTGGATGCCCAGAGCCCTCTGTGTAGGATTAGGGCAGAGGGACCCTGGGTCTAGACCCAGACCTCCCCCAGTTCCCATCACAGAACACTAGACTGTCAGAACTAGAGGGGCCTTCAGGGTAGCTATGCTATGTCACTGTACGCACGGGAAAACTGAGGCCCCAGACGGGAAGGGGGTGACTGAGGGCCTTGGAACGCGGCTCCCCAGGTCCCGGCCCCCTGGGGCCCCCACGCTCTAGCACGGCTGCTGCAGTTTTTGATTGGGCCACCAGGGGGTGCTGTGCGGGCCGCGGCAGCCCCGGGCGGCCCTACCCGCTTCACGTTGCGCCTCTCGGCGGCCGAGCGCGCCAGGCAGAGCCGGATCATGTACATGAGCAGGCCCGGGATGCGCAGCAGGTCCATGGCGTTGCCGATAAAGGCGGAGGCAATGACGTAGTTCACGAAGAAGGCGCCGTTGTCGGGCAGGAACACGCACCTGCGGGCACCAGGTGCTCCAGCTCTGCACTCTTGGGGGACCCAGAGGCCCCTGCCCACTGCCAGCGTGCCAGCGCCCCCAAGGTGCCATTTTCCACGTGGACCCTCCAGCTGAGCCCTCAAAGCACCCACGTCTCAGGGACCCCTGAATGTGAACCCCCAGATGCCTCCAAAGTAAGCCGAAGATAACCTCAGTGTGTGTGAGCCCAGAGGCACCGCTAGAACTTGTGCCACATAAAGACCCCTGGAGAGAGTGGAGAGACCCCTAAGGAGACCAGTGTTCAGGGTATGATTCTGGAGATCTCCACAGCCATCCCTCTCCCTGTGAGACCCTGAAGGGTGTGAGCCCCAGAAACACCCTGAAGGCTCCCTGCCTTAGATCTTAATTTAACCAAGAGTAACCCCCAGAGTATAAGCCTCTGACACTTCCAGAACTCAAGCTCCAGAGACCCTCCCCCAGAAATCTTCAGAGTGGGGGAGCCCAGGGACCTTTGTCAGTACCCATGACACCTCAAATGTGAGCCCAAGGTGACTACAGATGGCCTAGAGCAAGACCCCTATAGCCTGCTCCCACATAAACAGCCATGGCATGTGTCCCCCAAGACCCACCTCACAGAGATTCCCAGGGAAGGGCCCCCATAGAGAATTGCACATTCACACCTCTGGGTGATAGCCTGAGACTTCAGTGGTGTTCACAGAGCTTGTGCCCCAGAAACACCCCAAGGTGTGAGCCCCAGAGTCCCCCATGGTCATTCTGAGTGAGGTGTAAGCCCAAGAGCCTTCCAGACAGACTCAAAGGGGTGGCACCTGAGACCTTCAGGGAGCTCCCTAGGAACCCTCACGTTCCAAGCACAGCACAACCAAGATCCCACTATAGACCTTTCCAAACCCCCCAAGTGAAGCTCCAGGTCCCACAGTCAGTCCCATGATACAAGCCCCAGAGCCCTCCATAGAAACCCCCCCGAGCCGCAAATATACCCTAAGGGTGACCTCAGAATCCAGAGAGGCTCCCAACACAGACCCTCAGACATCCCATGCATGCACCCAAGACAGCCTGTGGGGGCGACCTTTGGGATGCCTGACCATGATAAAGCCCCTGCTCCTCCCCACCGCAGGGGCGGGTGCTTTGCTGCACCCTCCCATGGGGGAATACTCCCCCCTCCCCAAATCTGGTCTCCTTCCCTGGGGACCCTGGTCACTCACTCAAACCGGATAGCTGCCTCAGCCAAGAATTTCTTGTCAAAGAGCCAGCGGAAGAAGAGGTCCAGGCTGGGGAGGAGAAGAGAGGGGATGGAGGTGTCGGGTGCTGGAGTAGCCAGAACACCAGAGGGGAGAGCGTCCCATCCAGGAGCTCTGAGGATGCGCCCCAGACCTGGGGCCCCTGGCTGCTCCCCTTCTCGCCGTCCCCCACCCCAGCTCCCACCCCTTCCTCCGAAACCCACCTGCTCAGTCCCAGCGAGGGCAGGAGCAGCACCATGAAGATGAGGAAGGTGTAGCACTTGTGCATGGTGGTCCTGTTCTCACCGGAGCTGGGGTGGGAGGGGGGCACGGGGTGGGGGCAGAGGTCAGGCAAGCCAGCCCCGTGCCTGCTCCCCCGAGCTCCTGCATTCCCAGGAGGGTCCCCTGGGAAGGAGGGGGCCTTCCCAAGGTGAGGATCCCAGTCACCATCCCTCCCCTGCCAGCTCTGAGACTGCCTGGGGCGTGGGGGGTCTGAAGGTGGAGGGTGTGTGCCCAGGAGTGTCAGTGTGTGTGTAGAGGGGTGTCTCACCGTGTCCAGTGGGCTTCAAAGAAGGCAGAGTAGTAGACGATGGTGGGAAGCAGGGCCGAGAAGCACCACAGCAGCAGGGTGGGGAAGAACTGGGTGATGATGGGGTTCTGCAGAGGGCAGCAGGGAGGATGTGTCAGGCAGGGGCGGTCTAGTGGGCCCAGCTGGTGTGGCTTACCTGCCCCCCTCCTCCACTGAGCCCTGGGGTGCCTCCAGCTCCCAGGGCCCCATCGGAAGTCCAGAACATTGGGACTTCCCTGGTGGGAAGTCCCACCATGCCTTGCAGTGCCGGGGTAGCAAGTTCAATCCCTGACTGGCGAACTAAGATCCCACATGCCTCAGAGGAACTAAAAGCCTGCATGCTTTGTGGCACGTGCCACAACTAGAGAGTCCACATCCTGCAACTACTTGAGTCTTGTGTGCCACAACAAGAGAATCTGTGCACTGCAACGAAAGACCCCACGTGATGCAATGAAGCTCCAGCGTGCCACAACTAACACCCGACGCAGCCAAATGGATAAATAAGCCCAGAACCTCTGAGGGCCGGGGCCATCTGTACAATCCCTGCGCGAATTGTATTAGTAGTTAGCATTTATGAACACCTACTATGTGCCAAGCACTGATGATGGACTTTTTTTGGATCATGTACTTTTCATGTATTAATTCTTACAATAATGATATTACCCCATTTTAAAAATGAGTACACTGAGGCAAAATGAGGTTCAATAAATGAGATAGTGAGAAGTAGGGGTGGGGGGGCGAGATTTGAACCCAGGCAGCCTGGGTCTTATCTATTACGCTATTATCACCCAGTGATTTTCAAAGTGCCTTCTCATGAACTTTGAGGTTCCCAGGAGGCTTGTAGGGGGAGTGAGGACAGGAGCAGAAGCTCCCCCCTACCACCACCACTGCCATTTGAGCAACCTTGCTTTTCCACACTGAGTTTCACGTAAGATTTCCTTGGATAAAGGGCATCAGAATCCAAGTTTGGAGGCCAAGGATCTGGTCTGGCCTTTCACGCTTTGGTTGGAGAGATTGAGTGGTTTGGAGAACGGCCTGGTTCGAGGTCACATGGTTAGTTAGGGATGGACCCAGGCACTCTCTTCCTGGGGAGCCTCTCTAGGTGAGTGTGAACCGAGGGAGGCCTCTCCCGGGGAAAGATGGCAGGGAGCCTGAGGGAAGAGCACAGAGCGGATCTGCAGCCCACGGTGGTGTGGGACCTTCTCAGCAGGGCTGGGCTGGAAAAGCAGGACAAGAGCTCGACTGGGCAGCAGGGAGACTGGCTCCACGCCCCTCACATGCCCTTGGCCAGTGGGGATCGGGGGCCTGGGGTCTGTGTCTTGGTGCACAGTGTGGAGGGTTGGGGTGTGGGCCTTACGTTGAGGTACTCCACAGGCTTGGTGACGTTGAACTTGTCCATGGTGGTGATGATGATGGCCGGGGTGGTGAGGAAGAAGAGCAAGATGAAGAGGACGACATTGATGACCAGGCAGCGGAGCCACCAGATGAAGCCTCGGATGGAGAGGTGCTCCCTGGGAGGGCGGAGGCGTCACCCCAGGGCTGGACGCCTGACCCGACCCCAGAGACACCTAGGACCTCCGTCTCCTCCCGTGCCCCACTGGGGCCCCTACTGGCCCCATGGAACCACCCCAGCGCCATCCCCGTCTGCTCACCAGTAGATGTTCTGGGGGTCGGGGGCGTAGGACACGGTCCAGTTGGAGATGTGTAGGGACTCGCTGCAGGACGAGGAGCGGGGCTCCCCTCGGCAGGTGCAGCCCTGGCACTTACACACGTTGAAGTCCTTCAGGATGCTGGGGGAGGGGGGCACGGTTACCGGGGACCCAGAGCCTCAGCCGGTCCCTCGGGGCTGGGGCGGGTGGGCAGGGCTCACATGGCCGTGATGGTCTCGTTGTGGAAGGTGACAAAGGCCATGCCGAGGGGCTTCTCGTTCACTTTCTCCTTCTCCCGCTTGTAGTCTTCCTTCAGCTTCTGCTCCAGCTTCGTGTAGTACTCGATGGCCTCCACCTGCCAGGACGGACGGGCGAGATGGGGCCTTGGTCAAGCCGCTGGTCCCCTCCCTTCACCCAGCTGGCCCCGCCCGGGGCCGACTGCAGCCTGGGCACTGCCTTAAGCTCTCCGTTCACTCGCTTCTCCTCACAAGCACCCTGAGAGGTGGGTACAAGCAGCCCTGTATTACAGATGAGGAAACCGAGGCATGCAGCGGTCCAGAAACTTGCTGAAAGCCACAGAGCTAGTAAATTCAGCAAGCTGGCCTCTTGGCTGACCTCTTCTGATATGGGTTTTGAAAACTTGGTTGCTGTAGGTGTAGGAAACAGACCCAACAGTGGGACTAGGGCTTCCAGGACGTAGGAACAGACGGGAGGGGCTGCCCCTGCCTGTGGTCCTCAGCCCAGCTCTGCTTCCTCGGGGGACCCCTCGACTTTGGGGTATTTATGTGCAAGGCCTGCTTGTGTGTGGGGGGGTGTTCCTGAGGTTGTGGGACAGGCTCAACTGGGGGATGCATCTGTCACCACTGTGACCTGTCTCCCCAGGACCTCCCATCCTCCCCCCAGTCATCCGGAGCCAGGGGGCCCTGAGGCCTGAGCCGAGCCCAGGACCCCCCATACCTGCTCACAGCCGCGCACCACGCAGCAGCACAGATGACCACAGGGCTTGGGGTTGATCATGGTGGGGACATTGTCCTTGCTCTGGAGGTTTGTAAAGTAGAGTTTTCCCCGCTCGGCCTTCTTTCTGTGGGAACCAGGCGCCTGGTCACCCACCCCACAGCTGGGTCTGCTGGAGGATGGGTAGGTGACCCAGCTCGGGGGTCATGGAGTCCACTCCCCAAGGACAAGAGCCACTGTGCTCTTGGGTTTGCTTAGGGTGCATGGTTCAGACATGTCCCCAGTCCAGGGCCTCCCCATCATCCCCTGAGGGCCAGAAGTTCTTCCCATAGCCTAAATTTCTCACACTGTAGCAGAGGAAGGGTACATCTTCAAATGGGGTGGGGGAGGGACAGTGGAACCCTTTCCTCTAACCTCCAGGACTTGCTCTTTCCAGAGCTGAACTGACAGGCGCTCCGGGGGTGAATTAAAATCAAACGCCCTGGGAAACAACTGGAAGGGGAGCCAGACTCCTGAGTGGCAGCCAAGATGCCCCGACGGTGGGCAGGGGGCCCTCCAATGTCGCCCTCCCACCCCCAGCCCCACTACCTCTCTGCATCGAGGAACATCAGACGAGCCACGTTGTAACATGGGCGGGCTTCCAGAACTGTGCAGTTGGGGTAGGCCTCCCTGAAACACAGTCCACTATCACCCTTGGCAGGGACCCTGTCCCTCCCTTGTCCCCAACTTTCCTCCATGACCCCATCACCTTTCAAGACACACAGCCCCAATTCAAGCTCCCTCTTTCTGAGTCTGCAAAGACGATAGTTCCCAAGAATAAAACTTTGAAATTGCTCTTCCTGTTTATCCACGTTGGGGGGGTAGTGTGCACAGATTAGCCTGGGCACGGACCCAGATGAGAGCGCATACTCACAGGGTGCTGGGGACATCACAGCTATGGCCTGATGCCTGTGTGGGGCTGGGGATTTTATGTGCAGAGAAACTGCCTTTAGTTACAGTTGTTCTCTTAACCCTGCTCCCAGGAGACCTGGTGACCCTGAGTTTAGCACTGAGCCTTGACCACCGACTGATCCTAACCAACCCACAGCCCTGGGCTACAGAATGGTCTCTGGCGCAAGAATGACCCTGACCTGAGACTGACCTCTAAACACGGACCAGAGACTGATCCTTTATCCTGACCCAGCTGACCCATAACCCAGACCCAAGACTGACCTCTAACCATGAGCCAAGGTTGACTCCACCTTGACTTGAGACTGACCAGACAGACTCAGTAGCTGGTACCCAGCAGGGCTTGAGGGAGGCTTACAGCCTGCATGGAGGAACACTTCTGTTTTCATCCTGATCACACACTGCTCCCTGATCCTAATCCCTAATCTAGATAGAGGTCCTGACTTTTTTTTGGTTTGCTTAATATTTAAAGAAGGAAATACCAAGTGTTAAAGATGTGGAGACATGATTCTAAAGTAACAAGATGGACCTCACAAACCCATGAGAATTTGGGAACTTAAATCTGGGATGGTGTCCTTGAAAGGCACTTTCCAGGAGGCTCCGGACTCTTCCCCGACACAGGATATAGGATATGAATAGTGGGTGCGTGCTCAGTTGTGTCCGGCACACTGCGACCCCACAGACTACAGCGTGTCAGGCTGCTCTGTCCATGGGATTTCCCAGGCAAGAACACTGGAGTGGGTTGCCATTCCCTACTCCAGGGGATCGTCCCCACCCAGTGATTGAAGCCAAGTCTCTCGCATCTCCTGCACTGGCAGGCAGATTCTTTACCACTGCGCCACCTGGGAAGCCCCCGGTGCTGCTGTTGCTCAAACCATTTCAGGTTCCTCTTCGGAAGGGCTGTCAGCCCTGTGGCAGGCTAAGTCCTCATTTTCACCCAGCTAATCTCTAATCCCCTAATCCCTACCACACAGGTTCCCTGATTTTGCACACAGGTCCTCCCCTGATTCTTCTGGGTTAGTCCTCCAATCCAGACAGACCCCAGGCCTGGAACCCAGACCCTGGTGGGTACTGACAACTAGCAGGGGCTCCACAAGGACAAGGGCTGCCTCCTGCTCAGCACCACGTACCCAGGTGCTGGGTCAACAGCCCTCACATAATCAACAGCCTTCGCATAGTAGGTGCTCAGTAAACACCCACTGTGCTGTGCTGAATGGATGGGTCAATGAAATAATGCTCACCATGATGCTAAAAACGCCAATGAGGACTGCAATCTCCCCAACCCCTGCTTATAGGCTGATTGCTAGATATTTTTACTTTCTTTTTATTTATGTATTTATTTAGCTGCATCGAGTCTTTGTTGCAGTGTAGTATGAGGGATCTCCAGTTATGGTGCATGGGCTTAGTTGCCCCATAGCATGTGGAACCTTAATTCCCCAGTGAGGGATTGAACCTCCGTCCCCTGAACTGGAAGGCAGATTCTTAACCTCTGGACCACCAGGGAAGTCCCCCTGACCGTTAGTTTTATTTTATTTTAAAAAATAAATTTATTTATTTTAATGGGAGGATAATTAACTTTACAATATTGATTGGGATGGTTTTTGCCAATGAACGCCAATTTTAGTCGGGCTGTTTCCTAAACAATACCAAAGACGGACCCCTGAAAGAGACATCTTGGACTGTGAGTTCCTCATGGACGTGACTCAAGCCTGGCTCTTCTTTGTCTCCCTGGGACAAAGCACATAGTAGGTGTATGATAAACGTGTGCTGGATCCATGGATGCTCGACTCACAGGGCTCATTCCCTCACTGCGCACAGGGCTCTGCTCTCAGGCCACCCTGTCAGAGCCCCCGCTGCCCACCCCATCGGAAACAGCAACCCTCCATGACCCCTCGCTCTGCCCCTCTGCCTGCTCTGGTTTTCTTCTGGGTACCCACCCCTACCTGCCAAGGTCATTTCTTTGCCATCTGGTTCTCCCTATTAGAATATAAGCAGATGAGGGCAGGTTTCCTGCCATACCCCCAGGTTCCTGCTCCAGTGTAACACAAGATGCTCAAAAGATACCTGTTACTGGGACTTCCCTGGTGGTCCAGTGGCTAAGACTCTGCGCTCCCAATGCATGGGGCCCGGGTTCCATCCCTGGTCAGAGAACTAGATTCCACATACCACAACTAAGACCCCATGCAACCAAATAAATACATAAATAAAGAAAGGGTCAATTAAAAAAAAAAAGAGCTATCTCCTTAAAAAAGAAAAAAGATACTTGTATAGACTTGTATAGACAAGTTACTAATGGACTTGTCTGTACAAGCTGACAGCTGACTCCATTTGGACAATAACATTAAGATGTCACTTAATTCTCAGCACACACTGTCCTTAATCTTGACCCAGCCTGCCCCCTAACGCTGAGTACAGCTTGAACTCCAGATGGGACCCCAAATTGTTCTCTCATACTGACCAATGATTGATGAGCTAATTATAGCTGTTGTTCTGTAAACTATGCAAGGGCAGGACCTGTTTCTAATTGATTTATGCCAGGTACACAGAAGGGGACCAATAAATGCACATTGAATAAAAAAGAGTAGTCACTCAAAAACCCTGGTCACAAACCAGTCATTCTGTAACACAGAGGCCTGGGATCTGACCACAATCCCATCCTAACAGCTGACTGCTCATCCAGGCCAACCGACCTCACTAAGTCCTGATCCTCACTAGAGACCAAGCCCTGATCCAGACCACCAATGGCCCTCATCAGGACCACCGGCCAACTCCTAATACTGTCCCCAGACCAATCTCTAAGGAGACTGTGGACTGGTCCCTAAAGCCTTCCTCTGCACTGCTAAGCCCTGAGAACTCGATGGTCTTGCATTATTTCTGTAGTCCCCAGGCCACCACATGGACCTCAGCGTGCCTTAGAACATCTGCTGAGTGGATAGATGGACAGATGTTGTATACAGACTGTTCTGGCCGCTGGAGGTGGATTTCCTTCCCTTTACTAAGACAGACTTCTGGCTGAAAAGCACCTCAGAGAACATGCAGCCCAGCTCTACTGGGCTCCCTGAGGATGCACCGAAAGCTGAGACCCTTCTCCCTGCCAGTCCGCATGTACACAGTCTCTAGAACAGCACGCACAATTCTGAGAAGGCCATATCCTCAAGGGCCCGTGGACCCAGGGTCCACAAACCATGACCTGGTTCAAGCCAGGAGGAGGAAAGGCCCAGGGACTCCCTTTCAAGTATTTCTCCAGCTCTTTGAGGGACCTGAAGTCCAGCCCAACTGCTAGACCACCTTGAAGTTGGAGAATTCTTCCTTAGCATAACCCCCTACCCTGCACCACAGCCCCCTGAGCCCCCCTGGAGAGAGAGGCCTCTGATGATGCTCTTGGAGCTGGAAGAAGGCAAAGAAGGGTCCACAGGTCCTGGGGGTTGGGAGGTGGGGAGGAGCTACTCACTCAAAATGCTTCTTGATCTTCTCTGACTCTGCATATTTGGAGATTCCATTGATGAAGAGAGTCCGCTTCACCTGGGGAGTGAAGGGGGCCAGTTTGCCTTCCTGAGGCTTGACCCTCAGAGAGAGGGTGGGGAACGGGGGAGCAGAGAGGGGCAGGTGGGTGGGAGCAGACCTTGGGATAAGCCAGGGGCAGTGTTTCTAATAGAAATCAGACAGTGAGCAGAGTGGAAAGCCCCTTGGCCTCTTGCCCCCTGAGGGCTTCTGGGGGCGCAGAGCGGGTGCCACTCACAGATCCTCAGGGAGGCCCCAGCACGGGTGGCATGGAGTGGGTGTTCAGTACTGGTTTGGGGAATAAATATAGGAGAAGAGGGACAATCACTCCCACAGCCATTTCCTGTCCCGGGGCCTTCCATGCACTGCCTCACCTCACCCCACCCACCTTGGGAGAGGGACCGTTCTCTCCTCCTACGGAGGAGGGGACCGAGCCTGGGGGAGGTGACTTAACTGGCAGGATGGGGGCTCCTGGGCTGCTGAGCCAGGATTCAAAGCCAGCTGGCCTCACCCAGGGGCTGACCACACCTCAGACAGGAAGAGTCCCTGGAGGGTGGGCTGGGGGGCAGGCCTGGCTCTGCTGCACTCACCAGGTCATCCTCCTTGTAGCGCATTTTCGAGGTGTGTCTGCGCATGCTGTAGACGGTGAGCAGCAGGTACAGGAAGGCGAAGGAGGTGTGCAGCCACAGCAGGTTGTTCCTGGCGGGACAGAGGGGTGAGTGGGGTCACCGGGGCTGGAACACTCTCAAACACCCCCAACCTGCCAGTGTTCATGAAACCCTGGTGGACTCCCCTGGTGGTCCAGTGGTGAAGAATCCGCCTGCCAGTGCAGGGGACACGGTTCGATCCCCGCTCTGGGAAGATTTCACATGCTGTGGGCGCTGTAGGGCAATTAAGCTCGTGCGCCACACCTACTGAGCCCACATTCTAGAGCCCGCGCTCCTCAACAAGGGACGCCATCGCAGTGCAACTACAGTAGCCCTTGCTCGCTGCCACCAGAGAGAGCCCGCACGCAGCAATGAAGACCCAGCACAGCCAAAAATAAATAAGTATTAAAAACAACAACCCTGGTACAGGGCCCCTTTAGAGACTCGGGTCTTCCGACACCCTCCCAAGGCAGGCCCCACACCCCACATCCTCTAGACCCCGAGACTGTCCCATTCCAACCGCACTGTCCCCAAGAGATCATCTCTTCACGCCTTCCCTGCTGGGTACACTGCCCTCCAGTCACTACCAGCCAGTCCTTCCTGGGATCCTCTCCTTCTGGCTCCATCCCAAGCCCTCAAGGCCCCACCGCCATCTCTGCAGCCTCAGTACCTCTCCCCTGAACACCCCCCTTTTTCCTGCTCCCCATTCCTGCCCAGACTCTGCCCGCAGACCCAGGCCTCGCTTGACCAGCTTCCCACTCTTACCCTGATTTCAAGTTGGCAATGGTGGTTCTCCCGAAGCTGTAGGCGTTGTTCTCTGGGGGGTGGGATGAGGGAGAGGATGACGGAGAGGTCAGGGCACGTCCCCTTCCGTCCCCTCCTCTTCCCACTGCGCCCATCCTAGCCCTCACTGACCCAGCAGGTCCCCTGAGAAGTTGACGGGCAGCACGATGCCTACAGAGAGGACACCCACGGCCACCAGCAGCCCGATGATGTGCCGCTGGAAGGACAGGTAGTGCACGGCATCGCCTCCACATTTATCCCGGATCTCGTCATCCCTGCGGGCACGGGGACAGGGGGATGCGGTGAGGACCAGCGTGCTGGAGGGGCCATGGCTCGTCTGCCCTGGCCCACCTCAGCCCACATCCACCCTAGCCCTGGCTGATCCGGCAGCAGGATGGGGTTGAAAGAGGGGAGGGGGGCTCTGGGTCCCCCATGTCCTAGGAGGGGAGAGAGGAGGGAGAGGGAAGGGGAGGGAGAAGAAGGAAGGATGCAGGGAGAAGGGGAGGGAAAGAGAAAAGAGAAGAGAAGAGAGGGATTGGGGGAGAGAGACAGAGAGAAGAAAAAGAAGGCAGACTGCAGAGAGAAAGAGCAGCAAGGGGTGGGGAGAAACGAAAGGGAGAGGACCGCCCGAGAAGGGTGGATGAGGACAGTGGCAGGAGGAGACAGAGGCAGGAGGGCAGAGGGATGTCTGGGAAGTAATGGTGCCTTAGTGGTGCTCCCCCTTAGATTTGGGGAGCCCTGGGGGCCCACGAGCCAGGGCGGTGGCAGTGCTGACCTGTCCCGGCTTCTTGCCTCTCTCAAGGCTCACTGCCTGCCTGCCGCACTCTGGCTCCATCTCCTGACTTCTGCCTGCAGGAATACTGGCTCCTGCCTGCAGCTGGCTGGCTGCCCCCAGCCTGCCTGTTGCCCCCACCCGCTGGCTGCACATGGCTCTGAGGTGGCAGCGCCAGCCCCTGCTTGCACAGGGTGGCAGGGGCGGGGAGAGCTGAGGGCAGAGCAGGCCCTCCAGGCAGGGGTGGGGCAGGGGGGCACAGGAGACTGTTGTGGGGTAAAGTGAGGCCAGCTCAGAGGAACAGCAGGGGCCTGGGCCCCTGGAGCAGGGAGGGGGGTGCTGGCTTGGCTAGGAGCGCTAAGGCCCTCAGAGATGCCGGCCTCTGGACTTGGTAGGGAGATGACAGGTCTGTTGTTTCTCTCTTTCTTTAGAGCTTGAAGACCGTTCACTTACTTTATCCTGAAGATGGCTGTCAGCCAGGAGCAGAAACCCTGGGGGGTGCAGAGGGCTGTCAGCTGCTGTCCCCATCCCACCACCCCCCGCCACCCCCGAGCCTCCCTTCCCCCTCCTAGCCTCCCTCCTTACCCAACCCCAACCTCGTGACCACCTCCAGGCTGTGGCTCACCTTCTCACAGCTCCCACAGCCCCCTCAGAAACCAGCTCATCCCAGAGAGGGGCGAGGAGAGTCGCCCAATCTCAGGGAGGAAGAAGGAACAAGGCCACGTGGGGTCACCTGTGGACTCTTGGGCTCTGATTGCAGGTCCCTGCAAACACCCAAGGGCAGCGGAACCAGAGAAAAGGTCCTGCAGTTGTGTGGGCCAGGGTGGGGATGGGTGGGGATCGGGGTCCGAGGAAGGGACCTCAGACCTACAGCTTCTGCAATGTGGAGAGTCTGCAACATGGCTGCCAAGAGCAGAGGAGGGGGCCACGCTGCCCACGGTCCTGCCACCTACTTTCCGTGTGCTCAGTCGCTCAGTCGTGTCTGACTCTCTGGGACCCCAAGGACTGTAGCACATTGGGCTCCTCTGTCCGTGGAATTTTCCAGGCAAGGATACTGGAGCGGGTTGCCATTTCCTTCTCCAGAGGATCTTCCCAACCCATGGATCGAACCTGCATCTTTTGTGAATCCTGCATTGGCAGGCAGGTTCTTTACCACTAGCAGCACCTGGGAAACCCCAAGAATACCTCAGAGGGACCATCCTAGGGTCACGGTGAGCTGTGATCTCCTGCTCTCCAGCCCCCAGGCTTGTCTTCAGATAGAGACCCCGCTCAGGGCAGGGTGGGGCTATGTGGGGAAAGGCTGGGTAGAGAGACCCTGACCCAACTTCCTACTGGGAGACTTCCAGCCAAGATACAGGACCGTGCTATCTGTTGCCAACATCATCTAAGTCTGGGGACCATCTGGACAGCTCTGGCTGGGAGGGGTGATACCTCTGCTTTGTCACTTACCAGTATGAGTCCAACTCAGGAAGCTGACAGGCTTCTTCTGCTATGGGGGCCACAGGAGCTGCTGCTCCCGGGGCCCCCAGCCTAAGCTGGACTGACCAGAGCCACCCTATAGCCTGAGGATTAGAGTTCTGAGCAGGGTTAGAGTTCTCACCCTGGCAGAATGACAGGGGGCCAGACAGGTAATGCCAGAGTGTTGGGTCTGATCTAAAGGGGCCTGGGGTCTGCTATGCCTCCCCAAGTACATGCCTTGTCTACAGGGGCCCCGCCCCTCAGCTCCAATCTACAAGCAGGTCATCTGGCCCCAGATTGCCAGGGGCCACCAGCCTGCAACCGCTGAGCAGCACAATGGATTCTGCATGTTTTGCTAAGCAGGCCTGGAAGGTTCATGATTACTTCCAGGAAAATGTCTAAGGAAAAACAGGTCCTTAGGATTGATCACTGGAGAGGGGCACAGAACTCTACTGGGGAAAATGACATTTAGAAACCACAGATGTTCAACCTCTGCTGGTTTAGAGGCTGCCGTGGAAGACAGAGCCCCGAGTTCTGGGTCTGGGGGCTACCTTGTGGCTCTCGGATGAGCATCACCCTTGCTGGGCAGAAGGCCCCACTGCATAGACCCTTGACTCCATATCACCTGAAGCCAAGGCTGCTGAGCCCACGTGCCCCAGAGGAGGGGGTGCTGAGAAGCTGGGGGGAGGACACTCACATTGTCCCTTTGGTCAAAGTCGACGGAGCTGGAGACAGACGTGAGACGCTCATACCGGTCGTGACTGTCCCCGTGCATAGCCGAGGCCACACTGGGGGTGGGGAGGTGAGAGATCAGAGATGGGGGTGAGTCTGAGTCCCTGGGGAGCCAGGTGGAGTGGGTGGGCTCCCACTCCAGAGCTCCAGACAAGGCACAGAATGCTCAGAGGCAGAAGCGCGCAAGAGTGACTGCCCTCTCTCTGCCTCCCTAGAACCCGCACCTTCCCCTCAGGGGCCCCGGGGGGGCGTGGGGGGCACTGATGCAGGGATGGGGGAAGGGTGGGAGGGGGAGTCTTCATCAGCACCCCATGATTGCTGAACGAAGGAAGTCAGCGGGGCCCTGCAGTTCTGGAGCTGACCAGTGGGGGCCAGGGAGGCAGAGCCCACGCTGGGCACAGGGCAATGGTTGGGGGGGCACGTGGTGATGGGGAAGGACAGGCTGAACCAAGAGAACCCCAGAAGGGCCAGGGGCTAGGAGGGCTGGGAGGTGTCCCCCACCCTCCCCTCCCCCTTCCCCGACCCCAGCAGCTGCCGCAACTCCAATGCCAGGCCTATAGACAGAGACGGTGACGGACACAGAGGGCCACGCTCAGAGCTTCTCTGGCCGCCCCCCTCCCAGGCCTCCAGAGCAGGTGAGCGGGGAACCCTGGAATAGGAAGAACTAGCTGTTAGGGGATGAGAAGCCACTGGAGACACCCAATCTTGTCTCTGCAACCAACAGGGTGACTGTAGGGTGGGTTCCCAAGGAAGACGGCTCCTCCGCCCCAGCCAACCGGGGCGGCGGACACCCGCGTGCGCGGGGCACACAGGGAGCCGCTTCTCCCAGGCCGGGAGCCGGAGGGAGAGACGGGGGAGAGTGGCAGAGACAAGCTGGGGAGCCCCCTGCTCTGCAAAGCACACCACCTGCGTTAATCCGAACACGAGCCTGCAGAGGGGAAAACGGAAAAGAGACACCAGCAACGTGGTGGGAAGAGAAGCATGAAAGAGAAGAAAAAGGAAAGCTGGTTTAGTGGGGGCGAGGGGGCTGCTGCCCCACATACTATTCCTGTTCCACTCGGGCTCTCTCCTGCCGCCGGCGCCTGGGGACAGAGAACAGACAGGGTTAGCAGGGGCCGGGATGGGTCTCCAGGGACTGGCGAGGGACCAAGGCCCAGCTGTGGGCCCCTGTGCCCACATGCCCGCTCTGGGACCAGTCCCCCTTCATCCCCCCCCCCCCACCGCTGCCCCCACCAAAGAGGATGAGAGTGGGCTGACTCTCCTCCTATCCCTGAGGAGCGTGGACAAGGTGTATGTGCATGTGTGTGTGTGGGTGTGCGAGTGCGCACACCAGCCTGTGTGTAGGGGTAAGGGGAGGGTCCCAGAGCCTTACCTGTCTGCATCTGTCACCAAGGCCAGCCGCCCATAGTCCCAGGCCACCTTCCGGAGGATGGAGAACAAGAACAGCAGTGCCTGAGGAAGGAGGGGGTAGTTGGCAGGAGGGGAGGTCATTTACCCCCTGGACTAGCTAGGAGGGCAGGGCAGAGGGGCAGGATTTTTGTCTGAGAAAAGGATGACTCTGGGTGGGATGAAGATCTGAGGCTGAACTTGGGCTGGGTGATGGGGATTCCCACCTGCAGTCACACGTGGGGAGTCAGGGGCAGGTGGGGGAGTGGTTAGAGTGGCGGGTGTTAGCCATCCGTGATACAGGGTGTGGTGCCAAGGGTGGAGGGGGGCATGTGGGCACTCACAAGGAAGCACATGAAGTCCAGAGCCAGCACGGTGGGGACGCCCCCGAATGGCAGGCCCTGCAGGACAGTGCTGCGGATGCGGGCGCTGTAGCAGTAGTCCTTGGGGTTGCTGTTGTTGAGGGCCATGGTGCCCAGTGTGGCCAGCAGGAAGGGCAGCATGGCTGCTACTGCCTCATGGTTCTCCTGGGCAGAGGGTGGAGCGGTCAGCCGGGCTCAGCCCCTGTCCCCTTCACAGTTCTGCCTGGGGCTTCAGCAGGGTGGGTGTAGGGAGGTGACAGTGAGGACAGATCACAGGGCTGCCTGGGTGGGTGGAAGCTCTGGCCTCTGGAGATAAGGGCCCAGGAAGGGAGGGTTGAGTCACACAGACTTACTTCCCTGGCTTTTGGGCTCTGGGTCTGGGGAACTCAGCCTGGGTCTGGACTGGGGCGACTGGTTTTTCTAAGCTGGAAGATGTCTCTGAGTCTCTAGCAATTTACCTCCCACCACTTCCATATACACACATACACACACACACCCGTTCTCTCAAAACACAAACTGGCTCTCTCTGTCTCTGTATCTCTGTCTGTCTCAGGCAGGGGGCAAAGCTGAACCTGAGGGAAGATGGAGAGGGGTCTTAGGTCTGAAGATCCAAGACTAAGTGGAAGGGTCTCCAGGCCAGGGGAGGATGGGTCAGGAGCCAGCTACCTGACCCTGACTGTCTCTTCCTACCCCTGTTAGAACAATGGCATGGTTTCATCTGCTCAGTTTTCAACTCAGTTAACCACCTTCCCAGTATAACTGGCTTCAAAGTGAGATGTTTAAAGTTGGCCCTCTGTCCTCAGAGTAGGGTCTGAGGATGGGGTCGGTGGGAAGTCTGTTTAAAAGCAGGACTTCTGCATTTGTGCCACCTGTCTCACTCAGCCCAGCCACACCTGTTTACCCTCATTCTTTTTCCTGGGCCATGGCAGCAGCTACACCTTTCTCCCCTCCAGTTTCCTCATCTCTTTCCAATTTTCTTTGCACCTGAGTTATAAGGACTACAATTCCCAGCGTGCCCTGCTCCTGCACCCAGAGCAGGGCAGGCTGGGAATGCCGTGCCCTGCAGCGAGCTTTTCCATTGATTGGCAAAGGAAGAATGAGCCGGGGGCCTCTTAACCAGCCCAAGCTCCCTGCAGCCAGGGAAGTGCTCTCTGGCCTGCTTCCCTGATACTGCCAGGCTTTCAAGCCTTCGATGGTCCCAGCGGACGTGTGGGGAGGAGGAGGGAAGGGGCAGCCAGTCCTGATGCCTGGGTTCTGGAAGTGCCTGGGGACCAGCTGGGCAGGGCTCTGGGGAGGCTCCTGGGGTGGAGGAGATGTGTGGGCGCGGCTTCGTGGCCCCACCCCCCATCCTACTGGAGGGCCCCTGGGGGCCCCTTCTGCTGACAACACAAGCTCTGCTTTGTCGGGGGGGGGGGGGTCCCCAGGGAAGAAAGGAAACTAGACAAAGAAACAGAACAACAAATCTGGGATGGGTGACTGCAACTCTGGGAGCAAGCATCTCCCAGCCCCCTGGGTGGCTCAGAAAGTTTTCCCTGCCCACCCACCAATCCCAGATTTTCAGCTGCCTCTTCCTAACATTTCAACTGCAGGGCAAGAGGCACCAGAGGAGAAGCTGGGGTTGTCTGTGTGTCTCACTTGGTTCCAGGGAGTCTCTGAAAAGCCTGGGTTAAGAAGGCTAAGGGAATAACTGCCCTGTGTTCTATGTCCTCCCTCTTCCTTTCCAGCCCATGTTGCCTTAAAAAATAATAATAATTCAGTAACTGTGGCAGGTGCCATGTATAGAGTGCCCAATGTTTCAAGAAGACATACATTTTTCATTTAATCATTAACTCTTTGGAGTTGGAATGTCATTCCCATTTTAAGATGAGGGCATAGGACTCAGAGAAGTTAAGTAAGTTTCCCAAAGTCACACTGCTCATAAAATAATGGACCTGGGCATCAAACCTAGGTCAACTTCTTTTTTAAAGCCTGAACACTTTTCAGGGCACCTTGATGCTTTTCTGACATGCCTAGAACAGGATGCTGCAGAAGCTTTGTGAATGCTCATTATGTGTTCTCTGGCTAGGGAACACCAGAGCACTGAGAGAATGTGTGTGTTTAGGTGTGTAAACTTGTGTTGATATGTGTATCTGTGTATGTGGAGGTGGGGAGGTGGGTGACTACACAGCTGTCCTTGGAAATGAAGAGAGTTGTTAGTGTCTAAGTGGAGGTGTGTATGCAGGTGTGTCTGGGAGCCTGGGTATGTAAATATAAAAAGCCCCAGGAAAGGTGAAAGGTAGGTATAGGTATCTTAGGGCTGTAATAATTGGGGGGGGCTCTATACTAGTCTCCCCACCTCTAACTCCCAACTCAAACACATTTCAAAAATCGATCCAGCCCACACATACTCCTTGCCTGTTTGTCTCTGAAATTCCAAGGCTCCCCCAGGTCAGAGTGTAATGGGTACAAACCCCTAGAGTTACATGCCCCCCCTTCTATCCTCTCCACTTGGAGGAAGGTGGACCATTCTGGGAGCTCCTACATAAGCACTGCTCTTCCCACCTGCACCCTGAAGTAAGCAGGGCACACTCCCCATTGGCAGGGGAGGAAGCAGGGACCGGGGAGGAGAAGCCACTCACAGGGAGGTCACAGGGCAGGAAAGGGTGGAGCCAGGGCTGGTGGCTCAGCTTGCCAGCTTGCCGACTGGGTTACTCCAAGCTCTTAATTGTGGAGGCGGGGTTGCTGGGCTGAATTTCACCCTGGGCAGCTGCTCTCAAAGCCTTCACAGAGAGCAGCTGAGAGAAGGGAAGAGACTGAGGCAGAACATTTTGGGGGAGAGAGGGACATTTCATCCACTCTACAGGGTTGTCTGAGCCAGTGGTATCCCAGAATTTCTCTGGTCTGACACTGAGGCTGTAGCTGGAAAGGTGTAGGGAGAATGATGGAGGATTTTATTTCTAGCTCACTGAAGGTTATTTTATCATCAAGAAGTGTGTGCATGTTGCTGGGGGGGCGGGGTTAGGAAGCTATAAATTAAAAGTTTTTTTGTTAAAGAGTTACTAGGGAAGATTTAATTTAGGACTTGGGATCATAGGAAGGCAGTGTGGTCTGTTGGAAGGAGATAAAGATGGAGACTAGTTTTGTTACTATGTAACCTGGGCCTCAGTCTTTCACTCTGTAACAAATAGATATTAATATCCTCACTCCATCCCTACCAACTTCTGAGATAGGGGTAAAAATGTATCTACAAGTGAGGATAAAAGTAGTAGGAAAAGAATGCATTTATCAAATACCTGTTTAATTCCTATTTTATGCCAGCACTGTTCCAAGTGCTTTACAAATATCGTCTCATTTACTCCTCATCACAACCTTAGGAGGACGATGAGGTTCAGAGAGGGTATATCACTTTCCTAATGACACATAGCTAGCCTGTGATAGATCTGGATATGGACTTAGGCAACCTGGCTCAAGTCTATGCTTTTAACTACAGCACTTTGCGGCCTCAGCTAACAGAGTCACTTCCATCAGGAGGCTGGGGGCTGGGGATTGTCAGCTACAGCTCTGGAGAAATGCCGCCCCTTATTTCTACCTGTTTGCCTTCCCTCTTGCTTCTAGCTCCCTGGGTTTGTGATTTCGAGTTCTGAGGCAGGTGGAGGGGACAGGCAACAGAGCCTGGTGGCTAAGAGCATGGGCTCTAGGATGAGACAGATAATGGCTTCTGACCTGAGCACATTACCTCACCACCCTGGGCCTTGGTTCCCTCATCTATAAATGGGGATAATAATTCAGTCACGTGGTTGTTTTGCGAATTACACAAGATGATTTAGGTGAAGCTCTTATTACAGTTAAAGGTGTAAATGGATTCTAAAAAAAATTAGCTACTGTTATCAATAAAGTGTAGAATGAAAGGGATTAGTTTAGTGGAGAAGTGGTACAAATCAAAATAAAACAGAACTTTGTATGCTAGAACTCCTCAGTCTAGATGGGCTTCTTGTCCAGACTTAAGAGCTTAGGGTGCTTTCAGGACTCAGCCAGTGAGTGACAGGGGAATGTTTCTAAACTCTTCAAACAAACTGATCCATCCCCAGCAGGCTGGCCGGGGTTGGGGGTGGGGGTGGGGGTAGCATGGGAGGGTGATGATACACCAGGATGGGTCAGAAGTTCAGAGAGGAGAGCTCGTTATTGATCAACTACCAGGCAGAGTGCCAGGCTCTTTACCTGTACTATCTAGATTGATCCCCATAATTAATCTTGTAAGCAGGTGGTAGTGAGCATACTTTTTATTTATTTATTTATTTTGTGAGCATACTTTTTAAATTGACACTAAGGTTCAGAGAAGTTAAGTAACTTGTCAAGGTCACACAGCTAAAGAATGGCAGAGCTGGAATTTGAACCCACGTCTCCAAGACTGTTATAATTGGAGGGAACTTGTAAGATGTCTAAAAGGGGCTTCTTCCCTACTCACCACCTGACTTCTGCCTTGCCACCTCCCTCCCCACCCAACCAGAGGCCAAGACCCAACCGGGTGAGCCAACAGCAGGTCCCAGCATGTGCCACCTGGGGCATGCCAGGGCCTGGACCCTCTGGTACCCTGGAGGATAGTCATGCTGCCAGCACATCCCTGCTGGTAGCCCCCCGCTGGGAGGGCCACTCCCCTCCTCACAGTGCCTGGAGGCAGGACTGGGGGCTCCTCCTCAGGAGGGGTTGGGGATGCAGACCCAGGGAGAGGCTGGAGAGTGGTCTTAGGTACGGAAGTTCTGGTCCTCCCCATTGTGCGCCCCCCCCCAACCCCCTATCCCCCTTCCAGGAAAGTGGAGTGCGGAGCGGTCAGTCCTCCACCCAAGGGACCCAGGCAGGTGGCAGCACAGAGCCGCAAGGGCAGCCAGCCCTCTGACCTCTCCTCTCCACTTCCCAAGGGTCCTTATCTTTTTGGGGAAGAAGGCGCCAAAGCTTTGGGACTGTCCTCCCTAGGAGGTTAAGGAGGGTTAGGGACAAAGCACGCCCCCTCCCCCCAACAGGGCCTTTGCCCCTCTCCGGTTCCTCGAACCAATCCTTTCTCCACCGCACCCTCCAACGCAGGCCCGGGCGGCTCATGAATGAACTGCACTGTGTGAGGCGCAAGGAGAGGACACGCTCCCGGGGCCAGTCGCCTCCCCAGCCCTCCGACCAGTCCCCAGACCGGCCGAGGGCAGCGGCCGGCCTCGCCCCAGCTCTCGCGAACCCTGCCCTTGCCCGAGCCCGAAGCCCCTGCCCCGGGCCGACTTCGGGGGTACTCGGCCCCTAGAGCCAGGTTAAAGATAAAAAGATCCGAGGGCATTGGACTTGGCGACCCTGGAATCCAGAACTCGGGGGCGGGGGCGGCAGATTCCCTACCGCGGCGGCGGGCTGATCGGGCGCAGCTGGAACCCCGGAGGGGCGCGGAGGGGAGGCGCACCTGGACCGGGCAGGTGGGGAGGAGAGTGGTGCTAGGGGGCCGGGGGCGGAGGTCCCACCCCTCGGATCTCTCGAGGGGTGGGGATAGAGGGCGGTGTACCTCTGGACCCCAGGCAGGGGTCGGAGGACTCACACGATAGGCTCAGGATGGTGCCGGGGTTGGGGGCAGCGCGCGGCACCCCTGGGTCCCGCGGGCCCCGGGCACCTCTGGGTCCCGCAGGAGGTTGAAAGGGAGGGGACGCGCAGCTGAGATCGGGGTTTTTCTTTAGGGTGGTGGTGGGATCCTCAAAAGAAAAGAGACGGGGCTGGGGAAGGGTCGCGTACTCACCCCCAGGCGCAGACTCGGCTCCGGCTCCGAGCCCCGGGTTGGGGCGGGGCGGGGCTGGGGGAGGGGGAGGGGGAGTCGCTGGGCGGCTGGAGCTCCGGGCTCCTGCGGCGGCCGCGGCAGTGTCTGGGGGAGGGGGAGCGGGAGGAGGGAGCGGGTGGGGGGGAGCAGGAGGAGGGGCGGGGCCGCGCAGGCCACACCCCCACGCCAGGACACGCATGGCGCGCGCGCACCCTCAGATCACCACCCTCCCGGCTGGGTCCGCCGCGCAGGCGCAGAGCGAGAGGCCGCGTGGGGTGGGGGGGGGCGGGAAGGCGGCGCCGGGCCAGTGGGGCCCGCGGCGGGATATTCCTAGGCGGCGAAGGCGGTATGGAGTGTGTCTGGGGGGAAGGGACGTCACGCTCCTGACTTTCTGCTTCCCGTCTTCCTTTCTTCCCGGTTGGAGCCGTGGCGCGCTCCCCCGGGGTGGGTGAGGAAGGGCCGGAGTGCGGGGATCGTGGGCCTTCCAGGGGCAGAGGGTCCCGACGGGGAGGGAGACCTCTGACCCGGACCCTGCTCTCTCTCACTCTCCGAGGGCGGCCCCGCTCTCTGGGGCCTCTGAGACCCCGCGCCCCTGGCCCGCGCTCACCTGCTTTTTCTAGGGCTGGGGCGGGTGGCCGCCAGGCTTCTCGAGGTGGCCTAGGCCGATCAGTCTGTCGCGGCTCCTCTGGTTTGTCTTATTTCTCTCTTTCTCCCTTTCCTTTCCCGACTTGGGTCTTGAGATGAGTTTGTGGCTCGTTTGCCAGGCGCTTCTCTGGTTTGGAGAGTGAGTCCACCGCTTTCACGGTCATGCCGATGAGTGGCTCCCCCGGCTCCAGGGGATTCCCTGGTTTCTCATTTCACCCGAGGCTGCATCTGCCAGGGATTAAGACTGGAAAGATGAGAGAGAGAGGGGGGTGGGGGTGTGTGTGTCTGCGCGTGTGCATAACTCCTGTATGTTACCCACAAAATAGATGACAAAGGCATGCGGAATACCAACTTGTTCGTTTAATTGTGGGCTCATGGAAGGTTTTCTTCTCTTCAAGCTTAAGAACGGGCTTGCGGACAGAAGGGAAATACTGCTTTACATGGTGGGCAGTAAATGAATTTTGCCACCCTAAGAGATTGATGGACTGAATTTATAAGAGGTTAGTAAAACAGCATATGATGGAGTCACTGGGTTACTGGGGAAAACCTGGAAGGTTGGGAGATACTTGTGGGGTTGCTGGACAGAAGATGGGCACTGCCTATTTGGTTGTGGTTGGTTAGTGTGTCTGCTCTCTGCTGGGTTTTTCAAGGGCTCATTAGTAGCTTGTGGAAGGCACTGGTAAGGTTTACATACAGTTCAAACTGAATTCCCATTGCAACTGTGCCATTGGTTAGTTGGAAATCAATTTAGTGGATCATGGCCATCATTTAAGAAAAAGTAAAGTAGAATAGAAAATATCAGTGCATTGTACCTAGGGAGGGTAAGTATTGTTTCTGGACATCTGCTTCAAGTATACACACGTGAAAGTGTGAGTATATTAGGAGTTGTGATACAGTGTGTTTCTGTGCGTCACAAAAGTTTGAAGTGCGTTTATTTCCTGTGTTCTCCTGTTTGTGGTCTTGCCTTCATCAACCTGAGTTTTCAGTCATTTAAAATTAGTAAGGAGCAGGGTAGGTTGGTTTTTTCAGGGAGGCTGTGCTAAAGGAAAGTTCACTCTTCACTCATGGAATTATGTACAATGGAAGAAAAAGGATTTTGTTGGAGTAGGAAATGTTACTTAGGAAGGATAGAAAGGGAGATGGGGTTAAGCTATGTTTGGCAGACTGCCTGTTGGGAGAAGTCTTCGTAGGCTTGGATTCTGGGGGTAGGAGCAAGCAGTTTGGATGACAAGGAATCTGTTCTCTTTGTGTTATTGTTGTTTTTCCCTTATGTAGAATTTTCCGTTTTACCCTTAGAGCTTCTTGGATGTGTATTTCCTATGAAACTTTTGACATATTGTGTTGATTTTATGGTAGTAGAGCTGGTATGATCCCTTGCCGAGTAGCACTTATAATGGGGTGTCTGGAAAGTGGGAATAGAACCCATGTTACCTGGTTTGGGGACCCCTGAGGATCACTGAAAGGTGTATTATTATCTTTTTAATAATGCAGTTAGGTATGTTAACATGTGGTGGATTGCAGATCGATTTCTGCCTGTGCCTTGTTAAGGGTCACCACATATTAACAGAGGAGACATTTCAGAAAGCCTGAAGTGAGAATTGAAATGAGTACCCTGTGGAATACATGAAGGGACGACGGCCACAATGTTTTCTTATTGCCCCTGAATATGAATGGTGCAAACCTTCTCTGGAATTCATATTTCAGAAGGGAGCCTGTTGGGCACCGGACATAATTATTTAGACTCTCCTCAGCATTTAGCATCTTACATGATGCAAGAGTCCTTTGAAGCCTGTCTCACCCCACTCTTGTCTTGGTGTTATGACACCTGGACCCACATAAGATGGATTTTCCTGTTGTTTTTGTTACTAGAATAGTTTTTATGGCCATGAAGGGGCTGGGGAGGGTCTCAGAAATCAGGTTACAATTGATCTTCCTTTTTAGAAGCTGAAGGTTTGTTCTGGGTTATGGCTCACCCTGGTGCAATTTTACACCATTGTGTGTTAACGATGACAACCAGCTTGTGTGAGAGAGCTATGATTCAGATCCCAGAAACTGCTCTGGGTCAAGTAATATGCTCTCCTCTTAAGAAAGGTGCCAGGGGACTTCCCTGGTGGTCCAGTGGTTGAGAATCTGCCTTGCAATGCTTGAGACACTGGTTTCATCCCTGGTCTGGGAACTGGGATCATGCGTGATGTGTAACAACTAAGCCCGTGTATGGTAACTATGCAGCCAGATAAATAAATTACAAAAAAAGGTGCCAGGTAGCCTATTATTCCCCAGTGAAACACAACTCAGAATGGGAAAGTCTCCTTGTCAAAAGCTTAAAAAAAAAAACCATCTGTGTCATTAGAAAAGAGAGAGCACTTTCCATATCTACCATTTTTTAAAAAAATTATTAATTTATTTGGCTGTGCTGGGTCTTAGTTGCTGCACAGGCTTTCTCTAGCTGTGGTCAGCGAGCTGCTCATGGTGGTGGCTTCTTTCATTATGGAGCACAGGTTCTAGGGCACAAAGGCTTCAGGAGTTGGGGTATGTGGGCTTAGTAGTTGTGGCTTCCAAGCACAGGCTCAGTAGTCATGGCACGGTGCATGGGCTTAGTTGCTCTGAGGCATGTGGGACCTTCCCAGACCACGGATGGAACCTGTATCTCCTGCATTGACAGGTGGATTCTTATCTACTGCGCCACCAGTGAAGCCCTTCTGTGTCTACCTTAAGCTGAAACACACTTTCAGGACTGAGTGATCTTTGACACGCATAGTGCTGCCCTGAGAATTGGAGAGTGAAGCTGTTCTCACTGGGCAGAATCCAGAGAGGGATTCCCCTACTTGAAAACAGCCCCTTCTGTGGGTGAAGCTAAAACACTTTCATTTCCATGCCTCCTTGCTCTTCCCAATGACCCCTGCTTGACAGAGTCACTGAGGCCTAGAGAAGTGGATTCCAAGGTCACAGGCTTGGCAGGAGAAGAGGGGCGGCAGGGGTGGAGGAGATACCTTTTCTGTGGGCTTTTCATCCCACGCCAACCACCCCCCCGCCTTGCCTGCCCATCTGACATCTCCATAAACCCAGCTCCTTGCCACCGGCTTGGTAGAGGTGATTAAGTAGAATTTAACTTTGGCTTGTACAGTTTTTCTGAGATGACCATACCAAGAATGTTACAAACTTCTGGAACTATAGGTGTTTGCACATCTGTGAGGTGGGGATGGCAGGGGATTAAAGCTATAATAGATTAAAATCTACATATTGAAAAACCAACTTGAATAATCAAGAACTGTCAGATATTTTTAAGAACCATGATTTTAAATACTCCTGTAACAAAGTGGAACAAATGAATATACAAGTTAATAAACACATATAGGTAAATAAACAGAGAGAAAACCCTGGAAATGTTTTTTTTTTGTTGTTTGTGAGTCAGCTTGAGAACTGGATGGAACTCCCTGGTGGCCCAGGGATTAGGATGCCAAGCTCTCACTGCTGAGGGCCCGGGTTCAGTCCCTGGTCGGGGAACTAAGATCCCACAGGCTGTGCAGCCTCACGGAAAAGAAGCAAACATTCAGGACTTTCCCAAAAGAAAAAAAAATGGAGAGTTGGGGTCCTCGTTGGTAGCCATGGTAGAAACAGCACATTGAGCTCTTGAGGGATGTTTGCTTCTTTTTAAAAAAAATTTTTGGCTACGCTGCATGGCATGTAGGATCTCAGTTCTCCAGCCAGGGATCAAACCTGTGCCCCCTGCAGTGCAAGTGCAGAGTCCTAACCACTGGACCCCCAGGGAAATCCTGGATGTTTGCTTCTTGATAGGAGAAACTGTGAAAACTCACACCTTTGCAGGCATATCAGAATCAGCTTCAGAATTGGTCCTAGGTTGTGCTGTGTGTAGAGCAGATATCTATTGAAAAGATGGCTGTTTTGAGTTTTAAAAGATGATGTGGCAGCTTTGAGAAAGGAGAAAGAGTACTTGGACTGTGTGGGGTACGTTCATTTCTGTAAAGTTTATTAGTGGTTAAAGCAGCACTTTACCTGCTTAGGTATTGTGCGGGGTGTAGTAGGAACAGCTTTCTACCCTTCTTCCATTCCTAGGACAAGTCGCTTAGCACTTCTGACTTAATTTCTCCATCTGCAAAATGGCACTCTGTTGAACCTTGAACTGTTCAGAAATCCTTAGTGGAATCAACCCTCCCCAAACGGTTGCTGTTTGTCATCCGTCTGTGTTTCCGTTGGGTGCTCAGAAATGAAGTCAACCAAGAAAGTGATCTGTGTGAAAATACTTTGAGAATTGTGAGATGATGTATAAACACAAAACTACTGAAACAGACTCCTTCCCCAGCAAAACAGTAATGAGTATTTAAGCAACAGATAAGAGTACTTTTTGGTCCAGAATGATTGGGGTGAAACCTGCAGGAGATGGGAGGAGCTGTCTGCATAACACACACGGTGAAGGGTCCAAGGAGGTTTCTCTCTCTCTTTTTTTAAATTTTATTTGTTGAAGCTGCTAGGCCTCAGTGTTTTCCTGCTTTAATGAAGAAGGACATTTATATCTTTATGCTAGGCAGAGTTTGTCTGTTTTGTGGCTGGACCTTGCATTTAATTTCTCTTAGTGTTTCTTTTCACTTCTGCCACTTACTAACAGAATCTCCTTTAAACTGTCTTTTGTGATTGTGTTGAACTCTTTGTTTTTTCTCTCTTCTTTAGAACCTGGACCTAAAGAGGGAAATTGTTAGGGTAGAAACAATGTATAAATGTATATGGATCTGTTATACTAAGTACAGTATTTTGCTGATCCTAAAGCTCAAGTAGGCTTCCCAGGTGGTGCTAGTGGTAAAGAACTCACCTGCCATTAAAGGAGATGGAAGAGACCCTGGTTCCATCCCTGGGTCTGAAAGATCCCCTGGAGGAGGGTATAGCAACCCACTCCAGTATTCTGTTCTGGAGAATCCTATGGGCAGAAGAGCCTGATGGGCTACAGTCCTTGGGGTTGCAAAAAGTTGGACACGACTTAAGTGACTTAGCATGTATGCATGCAAAGCTCAAGTAATGGTACTTTCTAGCTTTCTACAAAGCATCCCTCTGCTTTTCTAGTTCAGTCTGTCTGTATTAACATTAGTTAAAAACGAGTTCTCTCATGTCTCGTAAGCTCCCCCAAGCCACTGGGAGGCTGAATGAAGGACACAAGAAAGACCACCAACCCTCTGATATTGAGTCTGTCTAGAGCCAGAGGGCTAATTGCAATTGCCGGTAAATAGTATTCATTTAACAGATACTTACAGAGCTCCATTTGTGTGCCTGGCACTGTTGTAGGTCCTGAGCAGGCAGCTCTGGACAGGGCAGGGACCGTTCCTGCCCTCACAGAGTCCAGTGGGACCCACCCTAACCCGAAGTGATGCCAAGTGAAAAACTCACCTGTGTGACCCTGAAATCTGCAGTCCTCCCTGACCTCCACAACTGAAGGGAGAGCTTAAACCAGGATGGAAAATAAGCACAACTCTTGGGTTATATTAAGTAATTTCTGTCTGTCTCTCTCATCTTCCTCCTCTTGCCCTCCCATTCCCCCGCCACCAGAGGTTGTGATTCATGTGCTAAACCTGGAGGACAGTACTCCACACTGACCAGGAAGCGGCCTGAAAAGCCATATCTGGCACCATAGTCTTCCGAATACTTAGCCACCTCTGAGTGAGAGTGCGGAGGAGGAAATACCATTGGAGTTAGCTTCCTGTGCAAACACAGGACTCAGAATAACGTTGTTTGTGAAACAGAGCAGTATATATAGTCTGATCCGAAGTGGATCAGGGCCTGTATCTACAGGATGGATTTATCCTAAGAAATAACATAAAGGTCAGTCAAAGTTGCTGTGAAGGAAATTACTGCCTCCATCACTCCTTCCTGATCTGAACCAGTTGTTCAGTGGTGGGATGAGGTGTTTTTCCACAGTGGGCAGTGATGGCGCCAGGCCCAGGAGATGATGCCAGGGGCCTGTAGACGTAGCATGGGCTCATTCTCCCACGACTAACACCATGGGTCTCCTAAAGCTTGTTTGCATGTGATGTGTGGGGTCCAGATAAACAGATAAGATTTCCCTGTGTAGAGCCATGGGTGGGGGAATCTGTCTATTGGCTACCTCATTTATTTTATTCATTAAATATTTATTGCATTCCCACTCTGTGAGGACCTACTGGGATCTTTTGCTGGGGTGGCTGTGGAGAGGACCACAGCTTTTTTCTTTTTAATATACAAGTATATTTGGTTCTTTTATGCTTTCAAGTTCATAGGAATGCTTACTGCTGTCCATTGGATGTCTTTAAGTCCTTTGGGTCTGCAGGTCACTATCAGATCTGCCAAAGACCTAGTGAAAAGTCTCTGAATTGGGCCTTTTCTTGTGAAAATGGCGGTGCTCCCTGGAGATGGGAATGTGTTACTCTTGTGTTTGAGTGCAGTACAAATGATCCTGTGTGTGTGTGAGTCCTGAATTCCTGTAGAGAGTTCAGATACCACATTGTTAAGATCTCTGTGGTCTGAGTTTTGGATAGTGAGTAGCAAGAACTGGAATGTTAAGGGATATCAGCCTTATCTCAAAAAAAAAAAAAATTCAAATTTATTCCACGTCTGAGTTTGGTGATGAAAGTGGGAGCCACGGAGTTCCTTGGCACAGACGCCCAGATGTCCTCGGAGTGCAGCAGGGGCGGCAGCGGATGCGGCAGCCTCATACAGAGCTGCTCGGAGGAGGTGTGTTTGGAGCCAGGGCTGCTGAGTTGGGCAGAGAGGAGCCCAGAGGGTGGGGGTGGCTTTGAGCAAGGCGCAGAGAGGCGGCCGGGGTGTGGTTTGTGTGCAGACCGCCCTGCAGACTCCCGGGAGGCGCCTTGAATGGAAGAGTTTGTTATACCCAAGGCAGGGAGAATTCAGGGGAGCCCCTGGGCTCCTCTGCACTTGTTGGATCCCCATGAGTACCATAGAGGAAATGGTGCTGAGTGGAGAGGCTGGGTGTTGCAATCCTCAGGAGAGGGAATGTGGGTGCTGCTGGGCTCGCTTGGGGGTTCTGAGGAGCCTCTTCTCTCCCAGGAGAGCGAGCCGGGGCCCCAGAGTGAGATGGGGAGGCTTGGCCGAGACTGGATGTAGTGGCAACCTGGACCAGAAGGACTGCTTTTTAGAGCTCTCTCTTTTTTAAAAAACAAAAAACAAAAACCCCTCCAATTTTCCATTATTGTTCAGTGTGTGGAGCTCTTCTTGCCACCTACACTACAAATTGTCTTCAAAACCTAAATTGGATAAAAGTGAATAAGTTTCACCTGCTGTTTGTTCTACATTTCAGTCGACTCAGGAAGCACTGAGTTGGTGGGGTCTGAGTAAAACATGCCTGTGATAACAGTGTTCCCGATGGAACAAAGATGATCTAACGATTGGAAAAATATTAACATTTAAATTGAAATTACCACGTTAACTCCACTGAATAAGAGAAGGGAAGCCAGCTACTGCCGTTCAGATTTCAGCTTTTGTCGCTCCTGGCTGTGGAACTTGGGCAGATTCATCTAACCTCTGTGGACCTCATTTCCTCAAGTATAAAGTGGGGTGAATAATAGTGCCCATTTCATAGTTTTGGGGAAACTTAAATGAGATGATAATGGAAAGCACTGAGACAGTATAACTATTCTACCGAATATATTTTCATAAACAAAGCAAGCAGGAAAAGACCAGGTGACCCTCAAAGCTCTTCCTCACCCTGAGCCCCTGTGTGAAGTGGGCTTTGTACGGCAGAGTGAGGCCACACAGTGTGGAAGGAAGACCCTTGGGCCAAAGCTGGGTCCACTTCTGGTTCTGCTTGTGCCCTTGGCTAGTTATGGGGCTTAATGCAAGTCCCCGTCTCTCTCTCTCAGTTTCCTCATCTTCAAAACGGATGTGATGTGATGACGATGATGATGGAGAGGGCTGATAGGTATTGAGTGCGGACACTGGGCTCTGTGCTTCGTGGGGTTTACCTCACGACTGCCCTGTGAGTAGGTGTTACTGGTGGGGAAACCCTAAGTTACAGTTGGGGAAGCCGAAGCTCATAGTTCTTGTCCAGGGCCATGGAGCTGTTAAGGTAAAGCTGGCGTCATCCGGTAGTCTTTGATTCTGTGTGTCAGTTGTCAATAGTTCCATAAGTTGACCATCTTCTTTTGCATGTAATTTCCTGATCATTTGGGCCACTCCTCCTTGGGTTGTCTTAAGGAAACACTGGATAATAAGCTTGAGCTCTGAGGTTAAATCATAGTTAATAAGCATTTCTGGAGTGTTCAGGTATTTCTGTGAAAGTAAATAGTGAGTTTTCCCCACCTTTATTAAATAAAATCTTATCTAAGGTGCTTTGAACTTAGGCAAGGCAGAGCTATGTGTAAATACTACAGTGGTAAAGGCTTTCTCAGCAGAGCTCTTGAATGAGGCCCTCTGTGGCCAAACATGTGGGTGGAAAACAGACATATTTTGCAGCTGGAATTACCAGTTGGTTGTAGGTTTTTCTTAAACATTCCCTTCGCTGACACCCGGTATTGCGGAAACCTGGGGATGGGCCATGGTTTTTGGTGCTCGGGAGCTGCGGGGTTGAGGTTCTGCAAACTGGAGTCACCAGTGTTGGACTGGTGTTTACTCTTTTATCTCCACCTGGTTCTCCCAAACCCCACTTTCAGCTGCCAGTGGGGTAGGTAGTTTCCCTCTGTCATGCTGTCGTTTGGGAGGCTGATCCAAATAGAGACCGAGGTCACTGACTTGACAAGGGCGTCCTTTGCACTGCTTTGCCAACCCTGAGCTGTCCAGGCGTCTGGCTTTTACATTTGAGGGAAAGGTGATGTGGTGGCGGACAACCTAGGCGGTTCCTCCAGGTAACCTGCTCTCCTCCAAGGAGTGGAAGTCTGATTTCAGGAGGCACTTAAGTGTCAACAAGGGACCAGTGTCATCTATGGAGGATGTGGGAAGTGGTCCCTGACTGGCTGTATCCCACGGGATTCCTTTTTTCCTCCTGCCTGTGGAAGTGCGGTAATGGTGAAGGCACTCACTGCGCTCTTGTGTTACCTACAGCGAGAACTGCTGCGGGCCATTCCAGTGCTCTGACCCCAGTTAGAATATGAATCAGCAAAACTGTCGCTGGAGTTCATCTAATCATCTGCCTATCTTTTAACCACTAAGACTTATATTTAGTGACTAATGATCTTGTGCTCAAAGTGCCATCTCCCACACAAGTCCCCAGTAGTCTTTAAAAAAAACAAAACAAAAACCAAATACACCAAACTACTGGCTCTGAGTGAGGACACTGACTTAGAAATAAATCCTTGCCTCTCTTTCCCTGCAGGAGTTGCCATCTTGGGATCCCATGGCTTTCTCTAGCGGGCTCTGGGGCCCCTGCATCCACATGAGCAGAGCATTCAGCCAGCGCTGTTTCAGGTAACTTTTCCTAATGAGTTCTTCAAGCTGTGTCTTTGAGTAAGCCCCCTGTCAGGACTGGGTATTGTGGTGACCAGAGTGGCAGTGGACTCTCAGGGAGGTGGGCTTGGGGTCCGGGGAGACTAGAGGACTAGATGGAGCTGGGGTTTGGGCAGCCCAGGTTGGGGGGTAGGTAACAGGGTGATGGTGCTGTTGGAGACGGGACTGGGAATGGACCTGGAGGAAGTTGAGACCTAGCCTACCAGACTCTTCCAGTGAATCTGCTGTTTCTTGACCCTGTTGTTCCCTAAGTGCATTAAAACCTTCTCTTTTAAGAATAAATATCTATATATTTATGTGTGCAATGAATAACTTTGCTGTGCATGTGAAATTAACACATTGTACTTCAGTTTAAAACATATATACAAGTGAATGAAAGTATAGGGCCAAATCCTTCTCTTTTAAAAATATATGTATTTATACCTCACAGGCTTATTACCACTCAAGCATGATGAAAGTGTGGCAGCCTCCCCCTTCCTGTTTAGATGCTAAGCCAGGACGGAGAGTGCAGGTTGCATTCTTGTTGGCAAACATGCCTTTTGGCCCTGTTCGTGCACTCATTCCACAAGCGTTTACTGAACCCTGTGCCTGGGTTTGGTCATAGAGAGATGAATAAGACTTGCTTCCTGCCCTGGCAGAGTTCTCACAGTTGGCCATGGGAGCAAAGTTGGAAACAAATAACTCTAAGAAAAATGTGACCAGTATAATAATAGAGGCTTGTACAGTTCTTTGGAAGGCTCAAGACAGGGGCTGCTAATAGAGGAGGAAGCGGGGGGAGGGGGAAGAGGCGGACAGAGGCCACCTTCCTGGAAGGGAAGTGGGGGCAGGCCCTGTCCCGGCCCCCAGAGAGGGCCGTGAGGCTGGGCAGGCTTGGACAGCTCCAGGGGTTCCCGGCCCCAGGGCTCAGAGTAGATGTGTGAGTGGCAGAAGGTGGAGGATCTGAGAAGACAGGTACGTTAGGACCAGGTTGTTGACAGTGTAGACAAGGGGGACCACTGAACAGTCCCGAGCAAGGCAGTAGCCTCTGTTTTATATTCTAAAAAGAGGTCTTGGTTGGCAGAGTGAGGTGCGCAGGGAGCCGGTTAGGACACTAACATAATGGTTTGGTGTGAGAGTGTGAGCTGCTGGGTGAAGGAATTTGTTGATGGGGTGGAGGGGAGGGTCAGAGGTGTTCAGAAGGTGGTGCCAGTAGAGGTTGGACGGAGAGAGGTTTATGGCTCGTGAGCTGGAGTTTTTGGAGAAGCCACTGTCTAGGCAGAAAGCCAATCAGCCGGAGGAGGCTTGCAGGGGAGGCGATGAGGTCCCTGTGGGACCGACTGAATTTGCAGCCTCTGTAGGACACATGCGGAGAAGGCAATGACACCCCACTCCAGTACTCTTGCCTGGAAAATCCCATGGATGGAGGCACCTGGTGGGCTGCAGTCCATGGGGTCGCAAAGAGTCGGATACGACTGAGCGACTTCACTTTCACACATTGGAGAAGGAAATGGCAACCCACTCCAGTGTTCTTGCCTGGAGAATCCCAGGGACGGGGGAGCCTGGTGGGCTGCTGTCTATGGGGGTCGCACAGAGTTGGACACAACTGAAGTGACTTAGCAGCAGCAGCAGCAGTAGGACACATGAAGAGCTTGTAGTGGAACTACAGGACTGGAAGATAGGCAAGGCATGGGGCTGGACATGGAGTTTACTAGTTGGAAATAACAGGAATAGATGACATCGCCCAGGGCAGGCATGTAGAACGAGAGAGGACCCTGGGTCGCCCCAGAGAACCAGCACTAGGGTCCTAGTGACAGAGGAAACTAGAATTCCCACTATCATCAGGTGGCTTAATAGTAGCTCATTTGCCTTTAATGGTACTCTTTCTAGTGGGGGGAAATTAAAAGATTGTTAGCTTATTTTCAATTTCTGCTGTGCTGTGTCAAGGGACTCCCTAGGCAGACATACCCACTTGGATCTAATGGTTCCAGCACCAAGCAGATGGGACATCTGGGAGTCAGTGTTTTCTGGGGGAGCAGGTTTTGCAGGCTAGGCAGGGCAAGGCCTGGCCTGTAAAGTATTCCCTTAATCCTCCGAGGCCTGTTGGAAACCAGAGGCTTTAAATTAGGGCTGCCATGCCGTTCACTGTAACAGAATATTGGGTCCCCTTTAGAACCCATCCAGATCAAGGTCCTGACCCGGCAGCAGAAGCTGTAAGGAACTTCTTACAGTGAGGACACCTCTGGTGTCAGGGCCCTGCTGATGTGCGTGCTGCCAAACGGCCTGGCAGAGGCCGCTGTGCCCTGACTGGCAGAACTGCAGGCCTCAGACTTTTCTTCCTCTTCCACCAGCACTACTGGCAGCTTTGGCGCAATTCAGAAGATGACGCGGGTGCGTGTGGTGGACAACAGCGCCCTGGGGAACACCCCTTACCATCGCCCTCCTCGCTGCATCCACGTCTATAACAAGAACGGGGTGGGCAAGGTGGGCGACCGGATCCTGCTGGCCATCAAGGGGCAGAAGAAGAAGGCGCTCATCGTGGGGCATCGCATGCCTGGCCCTGCAATGACCCCCAGGTTTGACTCCAACAACGTGGTCCTCATTGAGGACAATGGGAACCCGGTGGGGACCCGAATCAAGACACCCATCCCCACCAGCCTCCGCCGGAGGGAAGGCGAGTTTTCCAAGGTCCTGGCCATCGCTCAGAACTTCGTGTGAGCGGAGCCCAGGCGCTGGCCGCGGGGGCTCGTGGATGGAGCCGTTCTGAGAACTGTGCCTCTGCTGAGAGGGAGCCCGGGAACAGTGTCCTGTGGGAAAATAAACGCTTCCATGTATGTCTCTTCCTGAACTTTCTGGGTGTGGCCCTGGGGTAAATGGCACTGAAACGGCTAAAAGGTGCCACTGGAGATGGTTGGTCTTTGCCCTCAGTAGCCTGTGAGCTCACCCGGGATTATCAGGTGCTAGAAAATTGAATTAAAAGCTGAATGTGCCAATTTGTAGATAAACATCAGAACCTCACTTTCTAGCCAGGCAGACTACTTACTTGCCTTCCAGAATGTCATCTCCCTGCGTCAGAGGGCTGGAGGTGCTCAGTAAAGATGACTGGATTACTGGGTGAGCGTGAGTGAAGCAGGGGACTGATTCCTCCAGTGGACCGTGGGCTCCCAGCTCCGAGAGAACCTGCCCACCCTGCCTTCCTCCACCACGGGTTGCCCTCTGCTAGGCCCCAGCTGCTGCTCTGGGCCCAGAGAGGACAGCTGACTGCAGGAAGTGCCCTAGCCCTGGTGTGTGCAGACCGCCTGGTGGTGGGGCTGTGCAGGGGATTCAGTGATAGTTTAGCTCCCACTTGTTTGCTGGTGGTCCCCTTGTGGAGGTTCGGGCAGGGCTCATTCCATCCGTTTAAGTGGAATCTTTTTCCATTCATTTCTACAGTCGCTCTGCACTCCCATTGCAGGGGAGCTAAGATGCTGCATCCCCACGACATGGCTAAAAAATAAAGTCACTCCTTTATTCGTTCAAAATGTTCTGGGCACTTCTCGTTATTAAACATTCCAGTGGCCTCTAGAGGCAGAATAGCCTGATGATTAAGAACACAGCGCTCTGTTCCTGACTCCACCACTTGCACTTAATGCCTTTGGGCAAGTTATTTCACTTCTCAGTCCCTCGGTTTCCTTGCCTGTCAAGTGAGGATATGATAATGGTATATACTTGATTGGGTTGATGTCAGACTTCAGTGAGTTAGCACCTCTGAGTGCCTGGCAATCATAAGCACGTGATAGGCGTCAGTTGTTTTCCATCCTCACTGCTCCGAAGCTGCCAGTGCTGGGGAACACAGTGAGGGTAAGCAGAGGTCCCTGTTCTCCTGGGCAGACTGACACTGGTCACCTAATGACTCCGACATGCACAGGTCCCCAGGTATAACAAGTGTGTGTGATGGTGGGGTGAGACTTTTTCAGTGGGACTGGAGGCAGTTTCCCTGAGGAATGGTTGCATTGGCTGCCTTCTGAACGAAGGGGCATTGTGATACAAGTCAGAACAGCAGTCACCTGGGGGGTGGGGGAGGAGCATAGACTGCTAAGGTCACAAGGGAACCTTAACGGTATTGGGAACGTTCTAAATCTGGATCTGGGTGGGAGTCACATGAGTGTACACACCTGTAAATAATTACTGAGCTATGTATTTCAGTGCACTATATGTACTTTATACCTTAGGAAAAATAAGTGGACGGGCATTAGCTCAGTGAGAGGAGGGGAAAGTGGTCCAGACAGGGAAGAGGATGTGCAAAAACCCTGAGGCAGAAGGGACTGGGTAAGTCCCAGGGACTCGAAGGAAAAGCCACTGGCTGCAGCAGGTGAGCAGGAGGGAATGAGGGGAAGAATAGGGCTGGCTGGGCCTGGGAAGTCTGCTGCATCCTGAGGGTGCTGGGATACTGCTGTAGGGTATTTAGCAAGCAGGGTTGGGGTGGTGGGAAGGAAGATACAGTGAGACTGACTGGAGGGGCGCTGGGGGAGGCCAAAGTGCACCATGATGTGCTGTTAGCCTAGGGTGGAGGAGGGGAGCAGAAGCCTTTAGTGGGAGCAGTTGACTGGGCTTGGCGATGCTGGGGAAGGGCCAAGAACGGGTCCCTGGTGCCCGGCTCCCTTTGCTGGATGGTTGGTCCTGCAGAACGCTGAACTGGGTGCTCGGGGAGAGGCCCAAGGGTGGGGGAGGAGGAGCTTCGGGGGATCTGCACGGAGGCGCCTCTGTGAGGTGTCCCGCAGGTAGCTGGATGTAAACAGTCTCTCCAGCTGGGATAGTGCTTAGGGTGTGTCCTGAAAGCATTTATGTGGATGTGCGTTTTTGGAGTTTCTCATGGTCCTTAGGTTTGGCAGCCCCAGATCCTGTGTTTTCCATAAGGACTTGCCTTTCAGAGGTAACGTGATTCCTCAGGATGATTCTTACAACTACTAGCTAGTCTCAAGGGCAAATCCTATCAGTGACTTCAGCTCAGGGGGTCCTCCCATGACGTCTTGGGGTCTTTCATGGTTGGGGAGTCCTCGCCGTCTTGAGCAGAGTCTCACCAGCTGTGAATCTAGGTGATGACCGTCTGGTTTTCCCAGAATCAGTGGCTTCACTTGGAGCCTCACCAGCTCTGCCTTGACTGCTTGGAAGCGGAGGCTCTTTGTTTCCACCTTTCAGGTTGAGGTGTGCACTGGTCATCAGGGCTCCTCTGACCAAGCCTGATTCAAGGGCCTCCAGGTGTTTTAGGAGTAACTGCCCTCTTCCCGGGGCCCTCTGGAAGGGCTGGGAGACTGGCTGAGGTCTCTGCTCCACGCTGGGGCCTGCTTGCTCAGTGGGGAGTGTCTCTCTGCTGCAGTAGCTGCTACTCAGCAAGCCCTTAAGGCCTCTGCTTTCTGGGCTGCTTCCCAAGGGCTGCAGGAGAGAGAGACCCCTGTCCTGAGTGAAAGGAAGGGCGGGCTTGTCCTTCTCAGCCTGGCACCACCTGCTCCAGGCATCGCCTTTGCTCTGACCAGGGCAGCTTGACCAGAGCTGCCCTCTAGCTTGGAAGGGCACTTGCTTTCTGGGGTTGGGCTCACTTCTCCCCCCGTCCTTAGTCAGCAGAACGCGTGTCCATCCTTTCACAGGTCTGCAGGGCACCGGCCCGCCTCCCTGTTGAGGTTTGCCCAAGTCATTCAAATGACCGTCCTGCCGCCCACTCCCCGCCCCCTCCCCCCCATGACTGCCTCCCAAGGTGTTCTGTGCTGACTCTGGGAAGGCGGTGGTTTCCAGGGGCCGGGGGCCAGAGGGCTCCCTGACCGTGACCGTGACGCAGGGCCTCCGGTGCACAGCCCAGAATAGCCTAGGCTGCGCTCTATCCCAGCTGCCCTATCACTTTGCAAACTGGAATCTAATTTGCTGTCCACCCTCCCCACCCCAGTCTCAGTCAGTACCGCTTTCTTTGCTCATGAAATATTTATAATCACAGATTATGTTTCCCTATGAGTATAAACTTGCTTTTGTTTTTTTCCCTTCTTCGCCCTTAAGAAGCTGCCTCTGACAAGTCAAAGAGCCTCATCTCTCTGGGTTCATAGACCTCATCCACGAGTCTGCTGCAGCCTCCGGCTCCACCCCCGGGTTGCCAGACAGACCTTGAACATCGGGGCTTGTGGTTGGGAGACTGGCTTCCAGTTGGGCCTGTGCGTTGAACTAGCTGAGTGACTCTGGGCGAGTCAGCACCTCGGGGAGCTGGCTCCTCCACTGGTGGGCGTGCCTCCGGGGTCACCAGGCATGGCCCTTGCCCCAGCCACCTGGAAGGGTGTGCCCTTGGTGGCAGATGTAGACCTAGCCAAAGAATGTGCAGGGATCAGCCTGTGGCCATGAAGACTTCTGGAGAAATAACCCAAAGCCAACCACCTCCAGCAGGGATGGTGAGGCCACATCACTGCCTGGATGGCAGGCAGTCCCTCAAACCCTCAAGCCCAGCCTTGCTTTAGTGAAATAGGAGGATGGGGGGGGGGGGGGCACTGGTGGGCAGGACCTGCGAGAGGCCGGCCTCCTCCCCTCTGCAGGGGTGGGGCAGGGCGTGGCTGGGCCTCAGCTGATCACAGCCTCCTTGGCCTCTCTGCTCCATCCTCCTCTTGCCTTTCTTGGCCTCTTATGTTCTCTCTCAGCTGCTGAGAATTCTTGGTTTTGATGAAAATTGCATGATACTGGAATCAGATGCTTAACTGAAATTCAAATCTGTCCCAACAGCTGCTTTTTTTTCCTTCCCCTAATTTTGTAATTCAGTCTTTTACAAAAAAAAAAAAAATTCAGGATGTCATTTTATTCTTTCCCACCTGGAGGCTGGATCACAGTTCAGTTCCCCTCAGTATTTTGGACATTTGCTGAATTGTTTTTGCCAAATGCTAGTAATTTCCCGAATTAGTTGGACTTCCTAGGCTCAAAGTGAAAATGAGTTTGCTTCTCCATTTTTCACCATCAAGCCAGTTTCTTTATGATTTCTTGAAGCCAGTGGTTTCCAGCCAGATTCAGTGATAACCAGCTGTCACTTGCTTGATATTATGACAGGCTATCTCATAAGACATACCACTAGCTTTTTAAAATTCAATTTATTTTTATTTTGTTGGCCGCACTCTGCAGCATGTGGAATCTTAGCTCCCTGACCAGGGAACGAACCTGTGCCCCCTGTCTTGGAAACGTGGAGTATCAACCCCTGGACAGTCAGGGAAGTCCCCTCCTTTTTTTTTTGAAAGGAAGTGAATTTAAACTTATTTTGAGAATTTCATCAGAGCCCTTGGATAATTGGGATACCCCTGGGTATTATGAAACTGTGACTGGCGGTTGATTTTAGGCCAAATATTTACATGACAAATAGAGGCAACTCTCGGTCAGCTGAGACTGATGATCTGGTGGTGCGGGCGATCAGAGCCACCCTCCCGGCTCCCTGCTCTGGGCTCCTTGTTGATTCGTCTCTCTCCTGAGGAAGAGGAAAGAGAGACGTTCTCTCCCAGTGCTGGCCTTTCCTGGGGATGCTGGGCCGGGCCTCCCACGATTTCCGGGCTGGGAGTGGGCGGTGCTGCCCCAGCCCCACAGGCTCACCCAGCGCCCTGCCCAGCTGGCAGAGAGCAGAGCTTCCATGTGTTCATGTACCTTACTGGCACTGTCCTTACCCAGTTACACTGACTCATTGGTTTGCTGCCTGTTCTGGTGAAAGGTTTGCTTGTGAAGAAGAATGA